CAAAGTTATTTTCTTTTAAAACCTTGAAAGCAATACACCATTGTCTTTTACTAGTACATTTAGTGCCAGTCACATATTTTTTTGTAGATAGCATTTTTTCTCCCTTGAAGCTTTTAGAATCTTTCATATGATTTGAAATTTAAGATTTAATACTTTTTTGAATTTCATGATGATGGGTCCAGGTAACTGGGTTTGTTGTTGTTGTTGTTGTTGTTGTTGTTGTTGTTTTAACCAATTAATTTACTCAGAACCTAGTAAGAGTTTTCAGCTAGAATATTCATAAACTTTTCATCTCTGAAAATTTTTTTCATTTTCTTCTCTCCTTATGAAACTCCCATTTCTCCTTTATTTCCTTTTTGTCTCATATTTTCTGTCTCTATGCTTTTTCTATATTCTTGAATATTCCCTTAATTTTATCTTCCAATGAATGTTTTTAAAGGGCTGTTAGGTTTTAATTTTAAGAATTATTTTTCACTAATTGTTCCTCTTACATAGAAATGTTTTTGCGGTGGGGGAAACCTCTCTGCTTAAATACCTCCCAAATCACTTTTATTATCATTAAGTAGCCTTTTCCCCTGAATTATTTGTCTTCTTCTGAGTTGTTTTACCGATTTTACATTTTAGTCCTTCCTTTTTGTGTTGCTGGTTTTCATTATGCATTCTGTTCCCTGTTGATATTTAATAACAATATCTTGAGTGGATATTTATATAATGGGGTGGGGAGAAATATCCAACTGGAAGCTCTCTGCACTTGGAAAAGGATGAAATCAGCAGCTTAGCTGTAGATGCAACTAGCAGAGAATCTGTAGTCAGGCTATCAGCCTGCCAGATGCCAGAATAAGAGCAGCCCTGCGGGGTAGAGCAGCACTATGCACAGTGGGAGCCTTAGTGCTCCTCAGAGAGAGAGTGCAATTTTCCAAGAGCAAGGTCTTTTCAGTCTTGCCCAGGGGCAGATGCAAACTGTTGGCTGTCTTGCCCAAGCACTTTGGGTGCCAGGGCTGTGAAGGCTGACTATTTCATTTACAAATGACCAATCCATCCACCTCTTTGCAGCTCAGCTTCTCCTTGTGGATCTCTGTTATACCTCTAACTCTGACTCAGGAGCTTTTGTGAAACTTCTCAGGACATTGAAAAGTCTCACCTTCACTGTGACCTCTTCATGGTTAATCTGGGCTACAGCTTTACCCCTGAGCACCATCCATCCATGTGCTTCCTTCCATTTTTTTATTTTTATTTCTTACCTTTTTTTCTTCCAGGGATTATTGAAATGTCTATGTTCCTTTATCTTTATTATTAGAAAAGTATTTCCTTTTTTTATTTCTTTACAATTTAATGGAGTTTCAGGATGTGGTAAAGAGAAATACATGTACTTGATATACCATCTTGAACCAGAAGAAAAGTATATGTATTAAAAGCTCCCAGTGAAACCGGACAATCAATGGGTCTGCACTGCCTATCGCTCCTTGAGCCAATTAAACAGAGACGGGGTTGAAACATAATATATGAGCATTTATTCCAATTCTGCTGGTAGTATGGGAGAGCAGCAGGTCATCCACAAAAATCTGCTCTGCCCCCCACCATAAGCCAGTTGCTTATATTGGGGAGAAGGACAAAGATTACATGGGGAAGTAGGCAAAAGAGTATGCCAAATGGGCAGTTTACAGGTAATGCCAGCTGGAGACTTGCAGGTATAGTGTATGCAAAGGCTGGGAGTTTTTCAAAGGGCTGGTGGCTCTGGTTTCTGCAACAAGGTTGTTCATCTTTCCATGATAATAGGTGGCTCCCTGATGAGGAGGGTGGGCTGAATTTCCAGGTGAGCTCCCAGGTCCTACATGCAACTTCCAGCCAGGTTAGAATATGCCTTCTCTAATCAGAACAAAACAATCATAGTTAACAGAGCATGATTAATATTTCTTGCAATTATAGCTGGTCTGCAATATTCTATTTCTGCCTTCTCACCAGGAGATTGTGATGATCAGCCAAATTTGGGAGATCCTATTCTAAACTATCTTTTGTTCATTCTTTCCCTTACTTTTAATCACTGAACATTTACTCCTTTGTAACTCCTTGCATCCTTCTTACTACTTAATAATTTTCATAAGGGCAGGAGTATGTCGAATTATTATTTGCGTTTAACCTACTGCATCCTACCTATCCCCTTGCGCAATGTAAGGCACATCTTAGAAGTTCAATAAATTATCCTTGAGTAAAAGAATGAATAAATGAATGCATGAGCGAAGAAACGATATGCATTTGAATAAGTGGTTTCTCTAGGTTTTTTTTGTTTTTGTTTTTTGGTTTTTTTTCATTCTGCTTTTATTTATTCAGGTGGTATTTAGGGCAGGCAGGCAGCCAGCCAGCTATATGTAGCCATTCACGATTAATCCATTTAAAAATAGATACAGTGACTCATTTTTATTTTTTAAAGAAACTTTCCATATCCAATAGCCCTATTTCCAGAATCACTTCATAATGCACAAGCTTTTAGCTTGCAAATGGTTTCATTTGAGTTTCATACCAGGAATAGCTTGTATGAATCCATAAACATGAATGAGGCTCTTCTTGTGGGATTTTCCTATTTTAGTCCAATACTTATCTCAAATTGAACCCATTTGGGTGAATTCTGCTGCCATAAACCCATTTAAGCTCAAAGTTGCCATTGTAAATGGCTAGGATTAAAAGCAAACATACATCAGTCATCATTGATTCATATCTCAGACATAGACAATAAGATAAATATATCTATTAATATATATTAGGATAAAAATGGTTAAAACCAATCATCCATTTTTATCATTCTTCAAGGTGAGTCTAAATTTTTAATAAGTAACATGCATAATCCTTACCTTAATAAACTCCTTTTAATGAATGTGGGAATAAAAACGCTGAAATTTAAAAATGTGAGTGGAAAGAGCAGACAGCACATTTATTGAAAGATTATTCTAAGATCTAACTTGTAAAAAAGTTTTTCTTTACCACAGACTTGATATTTTCCATTGAGTTAGTGAAAGGGCTTAGCCAGTTTAAATAGTGACCATTTCCTTTAATCAGCTAGTGTTTTCCCTTTATACAGGCGATTCCCAGATTGTGCATAAGCATTTATGTCAGCCAAGAAAGACCATGAGGATGCAATTAGCAACATCGGAGAATGTGGGAAGTTCTATAAGATAAATGACCCAGTTCTCTCAACAAATAGTTTTTGTTACTTGAATTTAAAAGAAGTACATGGGCTGCTCTGGGGAGAATAAATTGTAGAGGGACCAAGGTGGAACCACAGAGACCTGCTAGTGTTGCGCCCAGACTTCGTGATCCCCAAGGACCACCAGGGAGCCGAGTCCGATGCAATAAACAAAAGAGCCTTTTTCTATGCTAGCATGGGCTCTGTCCCACTCACACAGGCAGCATGGTGGAAGAGAGAGTGAATTTTGCCCCGTCCAGGGGTTTTACTCTGGTCAATGGTGATGACACTGCCTCGGGTAACCCTGATTGGTTGGGTGAGGGCTAGGGTTCAATTACAGAATGGAGGATAACTCCGCCCTGCCCTCTCACTAGGGAGAATTGTATTAATCAATGATCCAGGGCTTTAGTGGTGGAAAAGATGAGAACTGGGCAGATTTGAATATGTGTTGAAGTTAGAAGTGGCCAGATTATTATGCATTCAGAGATCATAATAATAGGGCTTCTAATATATACTATTGCAATAGGGAAGAGGGTCAAGTGTGAACTAAACTCAACTTCAAACTGTACAGAAGTGACTGGGCATTTTAAATGGAGAATGAGGGAGTTGAAAGGGAAGAGAACAGGTGCTCCTTAAAATCAAGAATGTGAAAAATACAAAGTGTGGTCTGTGTAAAGGTTGATTAGGCAGGCCAGTTGTGTCTATGAGCTGGCAATTATCAGTTAGGATCTTGCCTTTCCACAAAGACTGAGAGACAGAGGCCCCATCCTTCCTGAAGTTTACATTGTAAAGTATGGTCTTCCGGTTCTTAAGAAAGAGACTCTTGAATTGTGGGAGGTTCTTATACAGATCAAAAGGACACAGGAAGGATTCACAATTGTAAGCCCTTTAGGTAAGTGCTGTAATGCAGAATGGGCCAGGGGCCTATTTGCAGCTGTTGGCTAAGACAAAGGGAATTTTTTTTTTGGCAGACTTAAACGCCCCCAGGTAAGCACATTAAGGGGTCATCCTAGGCATAAGGTCTTGAGCTGTTATAAACAATGTTAATATTTTTGGCTTTTTTTTTTTTTTAAGTTTTTTAATGTGGGGTAAGCGATTGGATGAAATTATGTGTTGAGAATCTGTACTTTTTATACACTAAGGTTGAGGCCTAGTAGAGAGCTCAGAGCAGCCTGACTAGAGTTTGATCAAACAGAGAATGCTTCTCACTGAGTAATTTTAAGACGTGTTATTTTATTTTCATTAAAAAAAAATTATTTGCCAAGGCCTCCATTTCTTCATCTGTAAACTAGGTATTTTAGCATCACATATAGCTCTTGGCAGCATCTAATGCAGCACTACACAATAGAAATATAATTCAAGCTCACATGTCATTCTCAATATGCACACAGCCACATTTTTTAAAAAAGTGGAAATAACGTAAACGTTAACTTAGTTACCTAGTATATTCAACATAGTTCACACGTAATCAACATTTGTAAATTAGTCAAAGTTTTTTACGTTCCTGTCTTCTTCGTCCCAAATCTTTGAAATCCGATGTATATTTTACACGTACAGCCCCACACATTTGCACCAGCCCATTTCAAGCGTTCCGCAGTCACACGTGGCCCTGGCATTAGACAGCAGGGGCTGGACCGCCAAGCAGCCGGCCGTGCTGACGCGAGCGTGGGGGCGGGACTCAGCCAGGCGGGGGCGGGGCTTCTCGGAGAGGGCGTCCTGGGCCTCGTCGGCCGCCGTAGGAGAGCGCCGGCCGCGGCGGCGCCACGTTCCCTGCGGCGGCTGCAGACGAATCTGCTGGGCTTCGGGGTGGTGCCCGTCCACCATGGCCTTCACCCTGTACTCGCTGCTGCAGGCGGCCCTGCTGTGCGTCAATGCCATCGCGGTGCTGCACGAGGAGCGATTCCTCAAGAACAGTGAGTGGGACGTGGGGCCGGGCGGACGTGGCGGCGGCACTGCCCGGGGCGCGACCCCGGGACCGCCGCGCGGGGGCCAGCCTGGGGCGGGACAGCCTGGGGCGGGACGGGAGGCGGCCGAGGGCCTGAGTGGGGGCCCTTTCTGGCGGGGTTTGCGGGGGGAAGGGGAGCCGAGCCATTTGCATCTCACCAGCGGGGTGAAGATTGCTCCATGGACACCCGCTGCGTGCCGGGTCCTGGGGGTGGGAATGGGGATCCTGAGATGAGCCAGGGACGCCCCGGCCCGCGATTACTTTCGATTAATCCTTTAATGCACCTCTCTGTGGCCGCTTATGGTCGAAAGCCCGGGGTTTGAGTTTTCAGCGAAAGAGGGAAGGGCGTGGCTCATTTGGAGCACAGGTCATTGGGTGAATGAACTGTGGAGGGCTGTGGGGGTTCGTGGGCTTTGGGACTACGAGGAAAGGGAAAGTGATGGTATTGTCACGGCATCCAGCCACCCACGTTCCAAGAAAGTTTATTCAGCACACAGCTTTGGGCATCTACGATGTGCCAGGAACTGTACTGGAATCATACAAAAATGAAGACACATTATGCCAACCGGGACCTCACAGTCCAGCACCACCCCTCACCCCCCTCACCCCTGGCCATCCTGGGCAACGCAGGCTGCTTGCTTGCTGTAGGAGCCACCTTGAGGCACCATGTGTCACAGTGTACCAGTTATATTTGTGTGAATCATTGCAACTCAAACCCATGAGCAAGATTATTATTTTATTTCTTCAGAATAAATTTACTGAGCACAGATTATGTGTCAGGCCCACGTAGTAAGAGTTGATGAGGTTACAGCAGTTATGAGGTTACAGTGGAAGTTAATCTAAATAAAACTAAACAGGTCACAATAACAAAGATGCAGAATATTATGGAAGAGAAGCGCAGTGAAACTTTAACCTATGAATCTGTGAAAGCTTCTTGGAGGAAGTGGGTCTAACTACAAATCTGATAAGTGAGTAAACATTAACGAGGTGCAGGTGAGGGGTTGGGAGAAACAGAGGGTGAGAAAACTCAGGGGCAGGTGAAAGCAAGGTCTTAAGCAGGGCAGTGACTTGACCAGATTTGTGTAATTTGCTATAGTATGGAGAACAGGTTGGAAGGGTTGAGAGATGGAGGGTCCACTACCAGTTGGGTGGGCATAATAACAATAATAATAATAACAACTGATACTTAACACTGTGTGCCCAGGTCTGTATCACGCGCTTTACATATATTTTGTAACCCCGACAGCAACTTTATGCGATAGTTTTCATCCCCACTTTACAGATAAGAGAGTAGGTAAACTTTCTAAGATCATACAGCTAGAAAGTGGCAGACCTAGGTTTCAAACATAGGCAATCTGACTCAAAAGTCCATCTTTTCGCTGAAACCGGTTTGGCTCAATGGATAGAGCGTCGGCTTGGGGACTGAAGGGTCCCAGTTCGATTCCGGTCAAGAGCATTTACCTTGGTTGCGGGCACATCTCCGGTAGGGGGTGTGCAGGAGGCAGCTGATCGATGACTCTCTCTCATCGATGTTTCTAACTCGCTATCTCTCTCCCTTCCTTTCTGTACAAAATCAATAAAATATATTAAAAAAAAAAAAAAGTCCATCTTTTCACCACTATACAAACAGAATAGTAGAAGGGATCATGTTGTGAGTTTAATTGTGCGTGCCTCCCCATCCCCCACCCCCTCTTCTCCAAAAGATAAGGTCCTAGCCCTTGGTACCTGTGAATGTGACCCGAGACTCTGGAGGTGTAATTAAGATGAAGTCACACTGGATTAGGATGGGCTGTGGACCCAATGAGGTGTCCATGTAAGGAGAAAGAGATACGGAGGCACACAGACACACAGGGGAAGGCCACGCTACAACAGAGGCAGAGACTGGAGTTAGGCAGCTCCAGGCCAAACAGAGCCGAGGTTTCCGTTAACTGTGAGAAGCTAGGAGATGGTCGTGGAGGAAATTATGTCTCAGATCTGCAGAAGGAACCTATTCTACAAACACTTTGATCTTAAGACTTCTAGACTTCAGAACTAAGAAAGTAAATTTCCTTTGTGTTGAGCCATCCTGAGTGTGCTGCTTATGGTAACCCTAGGAAACTATTACAAATCAGGAGATACTTTAAAGGTAGAAAGGCAAAATGTATTGTTTGAACATTGGAAATAAGGAAGAAAGGAAAAGGTCAAAGATCTCTCTTGGTTTTCAGGCTTAAGCAACCGAGTGAAGAGTTGTACCTTTACCAGGTTACAGAGAACTGGAGGAGAATGGGGGTGGTAGTGGTGGATAATGTGAAGAAATAAGTTTAGGACATGCTGAGTTTGAAATTATATCTGTGAGATAAGCGAGCAGGGATATGAAGTAGTAGTGAGTTGGACTTAAATCCATAAAACAATGCAAGAACCACAGTGTAGATTGAACTTTGAGTTTCTCAGCCACAGATGATAAATAAAGCCATATGTAAAGATGAAATTGCTCAGGGAAAGAAGGTACAGAGGGAATTGGTGACCAAAACAGTCCTTGAATTGATTCTAGTAAACTAGGAATAGAAGGGAACTTTCTCAATTTGATAAAGAATATCTAGGAAACAACCTCTTCACACCTCACACACCCCAAGTAACATCCTATATAAGAAAGAGCTAATATGACCATCCAGAGGGACGACCTTCTGGACTGAGCTGCAGCTGCGAGGACTGAGCCCCTTGTAAGAATTTCAGGCATCAGGCCTCTAGTCTATACTAATAAAAGAGTAAGATGCAAATTGACTGTACCTTTGTGATGCCCACCAGCCAATCAGGAGTGGTATGCAAATCAGTCCAACAAAGATGACGGTTAATTTGCATACACAGGCGTCCAGCACTGCCCCAGCAGCTCCAGGCCTCTGGGAAGTGTGAGAAGGTGGAAAGGTAGCTCAGGGCTAGAGCGAAAAGGTGGCTAGATGGTGCTGGCAGCCAGGAGAAGAAAGGCCCATTCTTGCATGAATCTTTGTGCATCAGGCCTCTAGTTAACATATAATGATGATAAACTGAGTGCTGCCCTAGCTGGTTTGGCTCAGTGGATAGAGTGTCGGCTTGCAGACTGAAGGGTCCTGGGTTCAATTCCAGTCAAGGGTACATGCCCAGGTTGCCAACTTGATCCAGTGGGGTCGTGCAACAGGCAGCCAATCAATGATTCCCTGTCATCTTTGATGTTTATATCTCTCTCTTCCTCTCCAAAATCAGTAAAAATGTATTAAAATTTTTTAAAAAAGAAGAAAAAAGAGAAAGAAAAACTGAGTGCTTTCCCCAATTAAGAATAAGAAAAGATGCCCTTTCTTGCCACTTCTAACATTGTACTGGAGATTCTAGCCAGGGCAACTAGATGAGTAAAACGAAAATATATCCAGATTATGAGGTTGAAAGAAGTAAAACTATCTCTGGTTTATAAATGACAGTCTTGTATAGGAAATTCTAAGAAGTAACTAAAACTATTAAAACTAATAAGTGAGTTTAGTAAGGTTAAAGATACAAGATCAGTAACAAAAATCAATTATTTTTCTATATATGAACAATGAATTTTTAAAAAAATGAAACAGTTTTGTTTATAATTTCAAAAAGAATAAAGTACTTAAGAATAAATTTAACAAAAGTGTGAACCGCATGCTATGAAAACTATAAGGTATTGTTGAATAAAATTAAAGAATAAATATTTTTAAAGGTAATTAAAATAATCCTCTGCTCATGGATCAGAAAAGTTAATGTTGCTTAGATGATACCAAACAATAATATTGATTAACAGATATAATGCAAAGTTTATCAAAATCCTAGTTGGCTTTTTTTTTTTTTTTTTTTTTTTTTTTTCAGAAACTGACAAGTTAATTCTAAGGAAAAAGGAATGGGCCAATAATAGCCCTCCCAAAAAATCTTGAAAAAGAAGACTAAAGTTAGGTGACTCCCACTTTGAGATTTCAAAATTTACTACAAAGCCACAGCACTCAAAACATTGTGGTGTTGGCATAGGATCAACATGTAGACCAATGGAGCAGTTTTGAGAGTCCAAAAATAAATCCTTATGTTATGGTCAATTGATTTTTGACAGGGAAGACAAAACAATTGAATGGGTAAAGAATAGTCTTTCAACAACTGGTGCTGGAACAACTGCATATCCATAGGAAAAAGAATGAAGTTGAACCTCTGCTTCATACCAAAAACAAAAATTAATTCAAAACCGTAGACTTATAAGCTGTGAAACCTAAAACTATTAATATACAACTCTTAGAAGAAAATATAGGCATAAAAGTTTGTGACTTTGGATTAGACCGGGGGTGGGGAACGTGAAGAATCATTTAGTCTGGCCCTGCCAAGGCATTAGAGTGAGTTAATTAAATGTTTGACCAAATACAGCAAAATTAAGTTGATAGTTTTGAATGGCCCATGAATGATGTTATAAATATTCAGATGGCCCTTGGCAGAAAAAAGGTCCCTCACCCCTAGATTAGACCAAGCTTTCCTAGATATACAATATAAAAGTAGAAAAACCAAAAGAAAAATATGTAATTGTGCTTCATCAAAATTAAGAATTGTGTACCTTTTAAGGACACCTTCAAGAGCATAAAAAGACAACTACAGAATGGGAGAAAATATTTACAAATCATATATATGATATATGATTGCTATTCAGAGTGTATAGAGAACTATTACAACTCAATAATAAAGGATAAACAATCCAATTTAAAAATTTGGACAGGTTATCTGATGGCTAGCATTATTAATCATTAGAAAAATACAAATCGAAACCCTAATAAAATATACTTCACACCAATTATTAGGACTATAATAAAAAAGACAGTAATGTGTTGGTGAGGTGGTGTTGGTGAGAAATTGTAACCATTTATACATTGTTGGTGGGAATATAATGTGATGCACACTGATCGGGAGGGGGCAGACGCCCAACGCAAGAGCTGCCACCTGGAGGTCAGTGTGCTCCCCCCAGTGGGAGTACTGCTCAGCTCACTGACCCATACTGTTGACCCACAATTTTGGCAGCAACCAGTCACTCCCTCAGTAGTCCTGCAGGTCTAATCTCCAGAGAACAGGTCAGGCACTGACAGGTCAGCGCCGCTGGCTAGCTGGATCTGGATCTCCCCCCGCCCCCCTCAGGACCCCACCCGTGCACGAATTCATGCATTGGGCCACTAATGATTTATAATAGCTAAAAAGTGGAAACAGTCCAAATGTCTACCAACTGATAAATAGATGACAATAATATGTGGTGTATCCACACTATGTAATACTATTTGTTAGTAAAAAGGAATGAAATATTGATGTATGAGACATGGCAGAACCTTAAGATCATGAAAGAAGTTAGTCATCAAAGACTGCATATCATGATTTCATTTACATGAAATGTCCAGGATAAGCAACTATATAGAAACAGAAAGCAGATTAGTGGTTGCTTAGTGCTAGAGGGTCTGAGGGGATGGGAAGTGGTTGTTATTGGGTACAGGGTTTCTTTTGGAGGTGATAAAAATTTTCTAAAATTGAGTGTGTACAACTCTGTGAACATATTTAAACCACTGAATCGTGCACTCGAAATGTGTGAATTGGATGGTAGATGATTGTATCTCAATAAAACTGTTATTTCTTTTAACTACACATTTTTTAAAAAACAGACAAGTATTATATCCAGTACTAATTATGAGTAATACAAAAGAAACATGAAATTATATTAGTCAGCTTGGACTGCCAAAAAAAAAAAAAATCATTGAGCAAAGTGAAATCTTGTTTCATGATATTGATATCATGTATAAAATAAAGACTTGTTCTCTGTCAAATTTAAGGTTAACAGGTCATTTGAGATTTTTAAAAACTGGAGTCATGCAATATGACAAATAAATCTGAAATGAGGACAAGAGAAAGACACATTGTAGAAATAGGACATGTAAGTCTTCAGGAGAATGTTTCAGGTAATAAAAAAGGAATTAGCAAGGAAAGAAAAAATGATTTATAATATCAGGAAAATGATGTAGGAAAAGGTGAAAGACTCATTTACAGAAAGTAAATGGGATAGTGAGCTAAATTCCTCATCTCAAATCTGAGAAATGAAGAATGATCAAGGGGGGGAAAAAAATGTGCCCCTGCTGGCATGATAGAGCATGCTCTAAAGGCCGGACCAAGCTATGACCAGTTTTAGCTTAAAATTTCCCCTATGTAATGTAGATGGTGAATCTTGGTTACTAGTACAGTGTCGTTATACTGATAATAGTGTTGGGCTTTAAAATTCTGAATTGATCTAATTAATTTTTCAACTTGACACACTGCTTTCTCAGTTCTGACTTGAAAAATACTTTGTTAGTTTAAAAAAGGAGTAAAAACATCAATCAGGGTGTTACAGTGTTCATCTTTACCATGGAATAATTTATTAGATATAGTATAATTTATAACACCACAGTGGAAATGAAATGAGTTTTTGTTGCTTATTAAAAAATATACTGTAAAGTATTTCACTTAGTAGTGTTTTTAAGTCATATGACTTTATATATTATGTCTTTAACAAAGGCTCAAGATAATCTTTTTAAAAATGACTAATGGAGCAAGGCAAAGGCATGATACATTTTAACACTGCTAATCGTTTTTATATTGTACAGTCGGCTGGGGAACAGACCAGGGAATTGGTGGATTCGGAGAGGAGCCAGGAATTAAATCTCAGCTAATGAACCTTATTCGATCTGTAAGAACCGTAATGAGAGGTAAGAAGAAAAACTAGTAGAACACTCTTACGTTTTAATTTTGTGGTTTGATTTAACTGGGTGTGAATACTATCTATCACATACCACCTTTGTAGCAGGAAATTTTTTCTCGTTAACCTGGCTTTATTGCTTAAAAGTTACTGGTTTCTTTCTGTGCCTCTTGTTTCTAAGCCAGTTGGTACAAATTGAATGCTCAGTGTTGTAACCTGTTTGTATGTTACCTCAGAGTTGAAAGACAATAATATTCTTGCCTTTTAGAAATTATGTTGCTTCCAAGTGGTAAAGTCATCTAAAGTCCCATCAGGCTTTCAAGAGAAAAATAGAAGTCCCACATTTGCTATTTTCTTAGGAAATATTTTATAGAACCTCAATTTTTTTATTGAAACCATTAAAACTAGAGTCTCTGTCTTCCTCCTTTTTTTAGCTGCTTTAACCACCACTTTGAATAGGATGATAAGTTCATTCTTATTTTGGTACATATTTCTAATGTCCGGTATCCCTGGTAGCCATATGGGTCTTTCTGCCTGAGTCCGGTGTACTTTTGTGTTCCCAGAGCTACACTAGCACCATCCACAGATGTTTCCATATTAATCCACTTGTATCACTGTGACCCTTATCCCCTGTCACATAAGCCCTCTTTAAATTAATTTGGAGTTTATGAACCAGTACATGTTTGAATGTTCCTGTTATGAATATTTGTAATATGAGTATGATGACATATTGTTAGGTATTACTGACCTTCCTGGATGCTAGTAACTATGACTTAGTTTTCTTTCTAATAACAAACTTTTTTTTTTTTTTTTTTGCAGTGCCATTGATAATAGTAAACTCAATTGTAATTGTATTGCTTTTACTATTTGGGTGAAGATCAGTGGAGGAAATGGAGACTCAGAAGAGATGTCAGCGGAAGTTATTACTTTTGTCTTTATTGGAATATACTTAGCTGTCCCTGGACTTGATAAAAATGTAAACATGATAAAAACAAAACAAACAAAAATACCCAGAGTCTCTATCTGATTTTAAAAAAAAATGTTGCACTTAACAGTTTCATTATAAAAAGATCAGATCATCAGAGGTATTAACTATCCAGGATTGGAATACATTTGATTGCTGACTGTTAATAAAAGTTTGTGCTATGGTTAAGATTGTTCAAAGGATGCAGGACTGTCACTTCTGTATTTTTAGAGCTTCTTCTCTCACTTCTCAGGGATGCTTTTTTTTAACTTTTGAAGTTCATTGTGACTTAGTTATGCTCAGAGAGTGATTATCCTCCTAGATAAAACTTAAAGGATTTAAAAACTAATTACTACATATAAAGTGATAAATAGGTAATTGAGATGGTTTTATTTTGACCTCTTGTTAAATATTTTGTCTATATTGTCTTGGCTTTGAAAAATTCAAATTCATAGTAACTATCAAGGAGCAATACAGTCTGACTTTAGGGAGAATTATAATTTTGTAAATCAGTCAATGGCGATTGTGTTTTTGTTTTAAATTATTGTCATGCATTTCTTATTTTAATAACTGGTCTGCATAATAAGACCAGATTAGTATCTACATATTTTCATTGGTAGAAAAGTATAGACCCTTTTTACAATGGTGACTTATATTTTGAAATCAGCATAAACATTAGCCTCTAAGAGCCAATCCTGAACAATCACAATTATAAACTATAATATGTAAGAAGACTTATCTACGTAAGAAGACTTACGTATGTAAGAAGCATTTACCGGTCTCAAAAGTATCCATGTTTCCATTTCTTGGAGTAATACATGAAGGCTTGTGAGTCTTAATTCTTATTTCCATCTGTCATTAGGGCATTCATGCTGGATAAGTTTTGTTTTGATGTCTTAGACCATTCTGTATTTAACTCATCCCATAATACAGTTTTATGCAGAAAATAAAACTATGTAAATGTGTGTGTTTTTTTCTAGAAATTATGGGTTATAATATTTAAAAGGGGAAGAATTGCATCTTTGTTTATAGCACCTTTGTAAATAAAGTAAAATTTCTAAGTCAAGTACGTGTTTTTTTACTTTAGTGAAATTAATCTCATTTTGTGTGTAACACTTTTTATATATTTTTTCTGTAAAATCACTAAGCACAGTTTTAATGAAAACATTCACAATCCACTTTTTTAAAAAATATATTTTTACTGATTTCAGGAAAGGAGAGGGAGAGGAGAGACACAAATGTTATGATGAGAATTATTGATTGGCTGCCTCCTACACACCCCCTATTGGGTTTTGAGCTTGCAACTGGGCATGTGCCTTGACCTCCCAGTTCATAGGTCAAGTTTCAACCACTAAGCAACACCAGCCAGGCCATTTTTTTTTTTTCTTCAGTGAATTGAATTGATATCAAGAAGACTCATGAGCAATATTTATATGATTTAATTTACTTCTAAAACTGAAGCAAGTATTGAATGCCTGTTGGCCATCCCTGAGTTACAGATGGATTATCTCTGGGCCCCAGGCTTATAGCTGAACCAAAGAAAAGTACCAGTGATTCACAGTTGATTACTTGGTTCATGTGGATACCATATTCGGCACTAAAAGGCAATGTTCTTTGGACCTTACGAAGAGCTGATGCATGAGTTTGTAAGCTACTGACCACATTCAAAAAAAAGTCATTAATTGAGGGTACTCCCATTTCTCCAACAGCTATGAGCCATACAGAATTTTAAAAATAAAAGAGACTGTCCTGATGCCATTTTCATGTAAGACATTGCACCACACCATACTCATTTAGTGTCAGATACTACAGAAGTTCACACTCCCATCAGGGAGCAGGCACAGCAGGGCAGGATCAGAGTATTCTGTAGCAAAGCGGTTCTGGGGAAAGTGAAGCACTGAATATCAAAGTATTTCATCTCTGGAAGCCACTTACACATTTCTAACTTTAATTTGCCTGAGGGGAGGTCCGTAAGCTTTCACAGGTTAACCCTAGTTTCCTCAGGGCAGTTGTGATTTAGTAGCATGGGTATCATTTTAGTAGGTAGTAATTTAAGTGCCCTGCTTGCCTGCCCACATCCTCCTCACTCATTCTCAGAATTAACAATCTGTCATCATTCTGGCCTCCAAATATCCCAATTCAATTCCTGATCATTCTGGCCTCCAAACATCTAGTTCAATTTCCTCAGTGAATTGATGACATACATCAAGAAGACTCATGAGAAACTTTTATGTTCAATTTATGGTGTTATGTATTTTGACTGTCATGAAGGATCTTGGCTCTAGTCTATAAATGTTTTAATTTGTTTAACCCTTGCTCTAGGAAATGTTTATTAATTGTAGTGAAAGTGTGAGAGAGACATCGATTCGTTGCCTCCCCAACATGCCTCGACGGGATTGAACACCACCTTTGGTATACAGGATGATGCTACATCCCAGCCACCCAGCTAAGGCTCTAGTCTATAAATATTTACCAAATGTATACCCTAATGCTTTTTTAAAAATATACATTTTTTTTTTATTGATTTCAGAAAGGGAGAGAGAATCATCAATGATGAGAAAACTATTGATTGGCTGCCTCCTGCACGCCCCCTACTGGGGATCGCACCTGCAACCCAGGCATGTGCCCTTGGCTGGAATAGTATCTGGGATCTTTCAGTCTGCAGGCCAAGACTATCCACTGAGCCAAACTACCTAGGACTAAATCACCTTTTCATTGTTTCAAAGTTATTACCAATAAAATTTTGATGTCATGCCAAATGAAATTTATTTTTGCTAAAATTTCCTTAGCTCTTGGTTGGTCATGATATGTCAGATATTGTGAAACTATTCTGTAGACAGACTGGGCAATGTCTAAGGGTATTAATAATCGAGATAAGTTTTGGAATCCTACCATTTTTGTTTCAGTTCTGATACTGCTTTCTTTACATCTCCACTCCCATTTTTTTCTTTCCCAAATCAGCCCCTTCCTTTTGAGGTCCCATCCTTGTTTTTGTTGTCGTTAATCCTCTCCCAAGGATATTTTCCCATTGATTTTTAAGAGAGAGTGGAAGGGAAGGGAGAGACAGAGAAATATTTATGTGAGATACATCAATTGGTTGCCTTAAGCAAGCACCTCGTCTAGGGGCCAGTGATCGAGCCTACAACCATGGTAGGTGCCCCTGACCAGAATTGAACTTGAGATTCTCTATCCACTGAGCCAAACCTGCTAGGGCAGGTCCCATCCCTTCTTTGGCAGCAAAGCCATTTGAGTCTTTTGATGAGAAGGAAGCTATGGGTTCTCTTTCATTATTTCACATCATAGTGAATGACCCAATTGCCCAAACTTGGAACCTGGTATTATCTTGATGCCTTCCCTTCCCCGCAATCTATTACCAATTTCTATTTTATCACCTACAGGTCTCGTGTGTTTTGTTTTGTTTTTTTCTACACAGTTTAAGCATCTCTCTGATAAATCTACCTTCTTGTCTAGACTCTCATTTTGACACCTCTCCTATCCACTCTCCAGACTAAGCACTAGGGAAAAAATGCATGACTTAATACCCACTTACTTGAAGTCCTTCAGTGGTATTTTAATCTCGTCAAAACAGTCTCCTAGCCCTGAAAGGGAAACTAGGAACAGGTTTCTTTTCCTTCAACCAAATGGGCCTTTACATAGAAACAGACTTAACAAATGTAAGACAAAAACCACCTCCAGGCCAGTGGGGAGGAAAAGCATAGGGTCCCTAGACCAGGGACCAGAAAGGGTTATGGCTGATTGCAGCACTGCGCAGGGGATGTTGGCTGGTGTTTTAGCAAGGATACAGCAGATTTGTCCAAAGGTTCCATATGTGTAAACCAGGGTGTTCTATTATGTCTGAACTTTTTTCATTTCGTCATTTTCATAGAGAATGCATAAGATGACCATCTCTGCAGTCAAGTAGTTCATTTGGATCTAAGGGAGACAAGTAGAGACTCCCAGCCTGGGTGGGAGCAGTGAGGAAGGTGGATCTAAGTAACCCAAAATATTGCTTCCCTGGAGGCGATAGGTTAAGGCCTGTGGTAGCACTCTCTAAGGAGAGGCAGGGTGGGCCTCGGCCGTGTCTGCTTTTTGGGGTAGCTAATTCAGGAAAAGAGGGATGCTACCTGAGGCAATGGCTAAGAGCAGTGTCGGTATTCAAGCAGCAAAGCAGAGCATGACCTCCGAGATTGGGTGTAACAGGGAAACTAGGAGATGACTTCTGAGTTACCCCTCCAGAATGTGGGGGGATTGCAGCAAATAAGTTACCCAATAAAATTCGGTTCGACCATGGTGCTGCGGAATGGGAAACATTTACTGAGCAAAGGCAGGGGGCTTAGTGTTTCCTCTCGCCTCGTGGCAGCGCCCTGGAAAAAAATGAGTCTCCAGAACAGTCTATCGCTCTTTCCGATCGTGATAAAGGAGCAGAACTAAATCCAGTGCTGGGTGTCCGAGAGGAGGAAAAACCTGGACCGATGGGGCGGAGAGGGACTGGGAGGGAGGCGGGACTTCCGTTGTGGTTCTGGGCCCAGCTTCCGGCGTACATCCGGAGCTGTCTCGGGCGCTCTGGATCCCGGCGAGGACGCTGTGGCTGCGGGGCTGAGTGACTTTCCTGTTAGCGGGGCCTTTGCTGAGGACGGAAAGGGGCAGGGGTGAGGAGCCGCCCGGAGGCTACCGCCCGCCCGCCGCAGGTCTGGAGGCGGCATTTCTTTGTGGGAGGGCTCCGGGCCTTAAAGGTTCGCTTCTCTAAGCCACGCCTCCTGGGGCAGGGACCAATCCGCGCGCTTGCTCAATGAGGACTGCCACGCCCCTCCGCTGGGCACCGCCCCCTGGGCCGTGGCGCGCGCGCGCGCGCGCGTCGCTTCCGCCGGGCCCTGGGTGCCCTGGGTGCCCGTGACTGTGGTTGCCCCGGGGGTAGAGCGACTCCGCGGTGTCGGCGGTTCTTCGGCACTTGCCCTTGGGCTGCATTTGGGAGCTGGAGTCTTTCCCGGTCAGTCTGGCGTTTGCTAGGCCCTGGAACGTGGGCTGGGGCGGAGTGCAGACACCAGTTCCGAAGCCCCTCCCCATGGGGGATGGTGGGAATCGCTGTTTCGTGCTGAAAGATTCTGTCTAGTTCTAGAAATCGTAGAGACCCGGATTCTTAAGTTTTATTTAATTCGAAAGTCTTTACTGAGCCCCAGATAGTACAGTGGAAAAGGCAACAAAGCCCCATAACTCACAGAACTTAACAGTTGGGGCAGTGTGAGTGTGATAAGGAGAGCGCGGGGGGAGGGGAAGGAGAGGAGTTGAACTCAGAAATGCCAGAGGAAACAGGACCCAGGGACAGAAGGAGTAGGCTAGGGGAAAGGAGGATGTAGGGGGGCGGATGTGGTAGGATTCAGGGGCCAGAAATGGTCCCAGATGGAAGTCCAGCGATGAGGGAGGTGGAGTGTAGTGGAACTTGATGTGGGAGTCTAGACAAATGAGGTAGAGAGGTGAACCTGGGCTCTGTACAGTTTTCATGGTTCAGGCTTCATCCTGAAGAAATTAGGGAGCCACTGGGAGATTTTTACTGGATAATAAACATTTATTAAGTGCATCCAGTGGTTCCAGACTTTTCTACTGGAAGTATGTAGGGAAGAGAAGAGAATGTGTACTCCCCAGAGATTCTAGGAGGCATATTCTGAACAGCCTTAACCTCCCAGGAGAAAAAATTTATTGCACTCTCGTTTTATGTTAAATATTTATGCAAGTTTTTAATTACATTACAAGTTTTTAATTACATGCCACAATATAGCCTTATTTTGGTATAAAATGTTCTCTCAAACTCTCAAGTTACATTAATGCTTTAGGACATTGCATCATATATTGTGATTTTTGCAGTCCTTGACACATCCATCATGTGCCCTTCTGTCCTTTCTCCCCCACACATACATAACCCTGACTTCCTTATTTTTTTTAATCTTCCTATCAACCAGTAGAGGCAGGTGTTACCCTTCATATTTCGGCAGTGAAGAAAAAGCTTGAGAGCTTAAGAAAATCGCTCAAGTTCACATAGCTAGTGAATTGAAGCACGTACAACTCCTCAGTTCTTGCCCTTTACTACTGCATTTCTGGGAATGAATTTGCAGCTGGAAATAGAAGGTTCAAAGTAAAGAGTACATTTAGAAAGTTGTTGAACTGGACTAATGAAAAGTGATGATTCCAACACTTTTAAGTAATGATGAAGAGAAGTGAGTGGATTCAAGACTGTAAAGGAGGTAGAACTGGCATTTGGCAGTTGAATGGATGCATGGAAGGAGTGGGAGAGCCTGCTGGGTGCATCTGGATTGATGGTGCTGCCATTCACTCTTATGGATCTTAGGAAAAAGAGCAACTTTGAGGGTGGTTCATTAGGGCTTGTTGGATTGAGATGCTCCTGGGATATTCAAGGAGAGTTGTCCTCTGAAGTATCTTGAAGAGTTCCTCTTAGGATGAGAGAGAATTCGCCCGGACTTTGTAGCAGTATGAATTGTTTATGTCTCTTCTATGGTATATCCTATATTAACTTGTTCAAACTGGGAGATGGTGGGCTATGGACTAAAGATAAACCAGGAATATGGACCATCTTTGAAGCCTTTATAGTTCTTCTGGAGGTGATACTATATTATACAATCCCATTTGTTTTTGAAAAAAGTTTTTTTTTGTGTGCTATCAAATAACTTCTTTTTCTTTTATTGAGACATAAATAACATATAACATTATACTAGTTTCAGGTTTACAACATAATGACTCAATATTTGTATGTGTTGAGAAATTTTCATTATTGGTCTAGTTAATGTCTGGCAATGTACATAGCTATTTTTTTTTTTCTTTTAATGAGAACTTTGAAGAACTATTCTTAGTGACTTTCAAACATGCGATACGGTATTATTAACCATAGTCACTATGCTTTTGACCCTCTTCACCCATTTCTCCTCCCTATCCTCCTACTTTGGCAATCACCAATCTGCTCTCTGTATCTATGAGTTTAGATGCAATATAATGATCTCAGTTCTCCTATATTGCTCTATTTAGTCAATGCAATTCTAGTCAGAACTCCAAAAGGTACGATTTTATTTTGAGGGGAAATGACAATCATCAACAGGTTGATGGTTTGTTGTGGGTAATGGTAATGATATGAGTTCCAAAACTATTCTTGTAGTATTGAGTACCAGGTGAACTAGTTAATAATGATGATTTTTTTCAATAGATGGAATTACACATATTTTTATATGCATGCTGTTTTGTTGTATTGACAACATGCTCCAAACATGTGTCAAATTTGCTGACAGTATTAACATCATAGATATTTTTATGCTTAAAAATGTTGAATTTCATGCCACCAAAAAAAAAAAAGCATTTGTAGAAAGTTTTAATTCATTACTTTATTTTGAAGAAAAGTGCTGCTGAAAGTTATCGTATACTTCGGGAAGCTTATGGTGAACATGCTGTATCTCAAGATATTTGTGAACACTGATTTAAACACTTTAAAAGTGATTATTTCGATGTGAAAGACAAAGAACATCCAGGTAAACCGAAAAAGTTTGAAGAACAACAATTACGAACATATTGGATGAAGAGGTGTGTCAAACTCAAATACAACTTGCAGAAAGATTAAACGTTGCTAAGCAAACAATTTCCAATCGTTTACAAGCAAAGGGAAAGATTTTAAAAGAAGGGAAATGGGTGCCACATCAACTGAACAAAAGACAAATGGAAAACCGAAAAGTCATCAGTAAAATGTTGCTTCAAAAGCACGAGATAGTGAGAGAGTGCGGGGCTGTCTTTTTTGCATCCAATTGTGACTGGCGATGAAAAATTGATTTATTTTGAGAATCCCAAATGCACAAAATCATGGGTTGATCCAGGTCAACTATCAACATCAACTGCAAGGCAAGATTGCTTTGGAAAGAAGACAATATTGTGCATCTGGTGGGATCAGCAAGGGGTGGTATATTTATGAGCTTCTAAAACTAAGTGAAACCGTTAATACTGATTGCTGCTGACAACAAATAATCAATTTGGACCATATTTTGATCGTGAAAGGACTAGAATGGGCCAGAAGATACAGTAGAGTAATTTTGCTTCATGATAACGCACCATCATACACTTCAAAACCAATTAAAAGATCTTGCCTGGGAAGTCTTAACCTACCCTTTGTATTCACCAGACCTTGCTCCTTCCCATTACCACTTGTTCCTATCAATGGCACACGCACTTTCTGAGCAGCACTTCAAAACGTTTAAAGAAGTGGAAAATTTGGTCTCTGAATGGTTTGCCTCAAAACAAGAAAAGTTCTATTGGGATGGTATCCACAAATTATTTGAAAGATGGGGGAAATGTATAGCTAGCAGTGGACATTACTTTCAATAAAGCATTTTTTATGTTTCTCTTGAAATTATTGTGTTTTCTTTGATTACAAATTCTGCATTATTTACTGGTACACCTGGTAAATGAGTAAATGTAATGTTGATGTTTAGAAAATCAGGGTTCTCAAATGGGAGGAAAGAACTCTGAATGTGGAATGGGATGAGAGGAGGAACACTGTGGCATTGATTTGGAATTGAAGGTCATAATGAATTCATAATTTTAAAAATATATACCTTTTTGCCCTTGCTGGAGATGGTTAGAGTAGCAGGACCACTGGTTGGGGACCACTGAGTTAGATCATTGTCCTGTGGATCAGAAGGTCACAGGTTCAATTACCTGTACCTGTGTTGCGAGTTTGATCTCTGGTCAGGGCGCATAAGGGAGGCAACCAATTGATATCTCTCTCTCACGTGGGTGTTTCTATCTCTGTTTCTCTTTCTCCTTCCCTTTTCCTCTCTCTAGTATCAGTTTTTAAAAATCTAATTAAAAAAAAAAATGGCTAGTGTGCCTCAGTTGGTGGAGCATTGTCCCATGCACCTAGAGGTTGCTAGTTCGATTCCCAATCAGGGCATATGCCCAGGTTGTGGGCTCAATTTCCAGTAGGAAATAGCCAATCAATGTTTCTTTCCATCTCCCTCTCTTCCTAAAAATCAATTAAAAATTTTGTTGAATAAAAATATAAAAATATGTACATTTTTAGCACTGCAATTCTTTTTATCCTTTGAATATATTTTGTTGAAGAAATAGAGTCAGAGTATTTCATTTTTAAATCATACCTTATACTCCACTGTGTTTAGGATATAGCTCACAATAAACTTTAAAGAAAAAATATGCAAAAGGAGCTTTTATATTACTAAGAACAGTATTTCCTGACTTGACCAGCACATACTGTTACAGGTCAAGTTATACAGTAACTTGTACATACCGTTAGCTCCTTTGCCAGATATGTCATTTCAGGTTGTAGTGGAAGTGAGTGATTAGAACATAGTCATCACATAAAACGAAAGATGAAAAAGATGTTGCTAGTGAATCAGTGCTCCTATACACCCATTCTTCAGAGTACATTATTCTGATATTTCTAACTAAAATAAATGAATAAATTGTTAAACCAAAGAGTTATTTTAAGAAACCTGAAAGTAAATACAAACTTCTTTTTATTAACTCCTCCTTTTCCCTTTCTAGTTTTAATTAAAGATTAAAAAAAACAAAACACTAAGCATTATGAAAGTTTTATGAGTCAAATTTTGGATTTTTATTTTTTTAAAAATGCATTTTCCCCAAAAAGAAACAGCTTAACACTAAGCTGTGTTTTCTGGATATGAATGATATTTTTGAAGACTTCCCAGTTTTTAATTGTCCATTGTTTCCTAAACTGTATTTTTAATTTCATTTGTTCTCTCCTAGGGAATGAAGGATGGCAGCACGCCGTGCATTAAAAGCTGTTTTGGTAGATCTCAGTGGCACAATTCATGTTGAAGATACAGCTTTGCCAGGCGCACAGGAAGCTCTTAAAAGGCAAGCTATCCTCCAGGTTCAGCTAACAAATATGTTTGTAAGTGCCGTTTTACCAAGGCAGATCATTAGCTGAATGGATGACCTTAAAATGGCATTTCACCAGCTTACCATATATACAAAAACTGCCTTGGGTTTAGCTAGAAGATGTATGCATTGTAATATCTTCCAAACATTGTTCTCTCTAAGCCTTTATTAGGTTTGGCCTTTTGATCTGTTCTTTTTGTTCTTTGTGTGCATGTTTTTTCCTAAGTCAGTAAGGTAAATTCCTGAATGAAAACTCAAGATTCTAAAATGTCAAAGGAAATAGCATTGGAAAAAAATCACAAATGAAGGAACCACAAAGTGAAACACACACATACACAAAGGCATAGTGCTGCCCACTCCCCTTTCACCTAAGATCTAGCATTAAATGTGCAGCAGCTCAAATAAAATGTAATTGAGGGACTTGAAATTTTAGAATTATTTCTATCAATGAGATGTAATTTGTAATGCCTTTGAAGGTTAGCAACTGTTTTATATTTCTGGTATCAACTACAGTACTTAACATGTCTCGATACAAACGAGGATACATAGTAAAGAAAACTGAACATGTCCCGGTCAGTGTGGTTCAGTGATTGAGTGTAGAACTAGGATCCAAGAGGTCACTGAATCCAGTTGGGGCACATGCCTGGATTGCAGACTGGATCCCTAGTAGAGGGCATGCAGGAGGCAGCCAACGGAGGATGCTTCTCATTGATGTTTCTCTCTCTTCATTCCTTTTTCTTCCTCTCTCTAAAAAAATCAATAAAAACATATGTTTTTTTAAAAGTAAACTAAATGTGAGTGTCCTGAAAAAAAAAAAACAGTACAATAGTACTGTTAATTGGTATTAAATACCTTCATATGAAAATTATTTAGAGAAGTTTTGAAAGTCAGCAATACTTAGCATGTGGTGTTTATTATTTTCCCACCTTAAAATAGTCTTAGGAGCTCTAGTGACTAGTATCACAACACCAGATATACGGGCCAAACATTGACTCAGATCTTGCTTGCATTCTCTCAAGGAGATTACCTTCGATTTGGGGAATCAACAAATACAAAGAGGTTTATGTATCTGATAGGCATAATTTGGAAGCTATCAGTTTAGTTAGGAGTCCTGATGTTCATGTTATAGGTTTAACATGAACCATTTTGTTTAACCATTTGTACACCATAAGTGTCTATAGACGCAAGTGGCGGACCTTTTGTAATTCAAAATATCGTGGCAGTTAACTGGTTAAAGCCAAAAGAAAGTCAGACGCACCATTAGACTTTCTCTTGACTTCTTGACACTGTCTCTTAATTAGGCTTTCTCCAGGAAGGAGATTTTACTGCTGTAAAGATAAGCTTTTTACTTTGTACTGAAGACAAATCTTTTTATTTCTGGTGAGCAATGTATGACACCACTAAGTAGCTCTGTAACTATGAGACTGCCATTCTGGAGGGGCAGGAGCCTGCGAATTACACATCCAGAGACTTGGCTATACTGCTATGGCTGATTTTGGTTTCTATAGAAACAAACAGGCTAAGGGAAGTTGAGGGACCAGTAAAAAGAAAAGTTTTTTTTAAAATCCTCATTAAAAATGAGACGGTTATTTCAGTACTTCTACTTGTTCATTTTTAGGATAATAGTTACGTTGAAATAATCAGTTTCTTTTGAGAGATACACCACCAAGTTTAATGTGCTTTTAAGAAAAGCTACCACACAGATATTATAGAGGCAACCATGATTACAGTGAACTATTTAATCTTACAAATTTAGTTAATGTTCTTTGGGTGAATACTTAAAAAATCTCTATTTCTGTTTTATTTGCTTGCTTGTTTTCAATTGCATTTAGTGTTTTTCCACCTTGTATTCATTTGGGGCAGGCACAAAATAAAAAGCAATAGGGTATTAATATAAAATCTTAATTGTAGCTAAAATAAAATTATTTTTAGATTTTTGGATTAAAACACTTTAGGACTGAGAAAATAATTTTCATTTTTAAAGAAAGCTAGACTGTCAAATTCTTTCTCTGAGATCCGATTGCCAGTTTAGGTTCCAAAAACAGATCACAGAATCAAAACAATTCTATATGTTAAGTAATTCAAGGGAAAAACACATTTTATTTAAAAAGAAAAGATTTTCTTTGATAGATTGTCCAGATAGATTCTGTTTATAAATTTGGTAGCACTTCTTCTGATTGTCTAAGAAGGAAAAACAACATCTTGAGGTGTCTTCTGTTCTCTAGTATAGGAGATGGAGTCCTGTACCAGGACATAGATTGGAGTCCTCGTCTCAGCTCTTCTGCTACCCAGCGGTATGAGTACTTAGCTCCTCACTTAGCTCCTCTAGGCCTCAGTTTTATCCTTTTATAAGAAGAGAGGGTTACACAAGTAAATAATCTCTAAGGTAACTTTTACCTCTCATATTCTGTGAGTATAACGGTTACTAAGCTTGGTGTGTTTGTTTTTCACTTCTTTGATAAATCCCTGCAATAAAATTCAGTTGAAGTACAGATGTTCTCAAAAAGGTAGACACAGCTTTTACAATTTACTTTGTAACCTTTGGCAATAAAATGGTCCAGACGGTGTGAATAATATGTAAGCAATTCTGGGTAGATAACAAAAAGATTACTGGTAATAAAAACATTTACTTGATGACTTAGCCTTCATTTTAGGACTGTTGGCAAGTGCTACCAATTTAGGAGATCTTATGGGGCTAGAATGTAAAAGCTGCCTGTTGACATCTGAATTTACTTTTCCAGGTTACGTGCTGCTTCTCTAACGGTTAGGTTTGTGACCAATACAACCAAAGAGAGCAAGAGAGACCTACTAGCAAGGTTGAAAAAGTTGGAGTTTGATATCTCTGAAGATGAGATATTTACTTCTATGATTGCAGCCAGAAACTTATTAGAAGAGAAACAAGTCCGGCCCATGTTGCTAGTTCACGATCAGGCATTAGCTGATTTCAAAGGTAGGGGAAATTGCAAAGATTTAAAAATTGGTTCTTCATATCTTCTTATAAATCATTCTTAAACTGAATATTTAGATGTATTTATTCAGATTTCCTCCTATTATTGTTGAAAGGATCAACAGATCTCTTGAATCTAAATTGGTGTTCCTCAAACTTGTTCTGACCGCACTCCACAGTAAGTGAAACACATTACATAGTAACCTAGTACATATACGTGTGTGTTTATATATATGCTAAACAATACTTTTACTGTATGAGAAGAACCCTATTTTCTGTTTGGTTTACTTGTTTATTTGATTTTGATGCTATTTAGAGCTCTCCAAATTAGTTTTGTAATCTAATGGATCATGGCCCACAGTTTGAAAAAGCACAGTTCAAAATTACTTTGAGTATTATAATTCTGGATCCAAGAGCTACTGTATTAATTTAATTAAATGAGATAATCCATAATCGCCTTATTTAAAAATTGGTGTCATTCTGTATAGTATGAAATTTTAGCAGTGATTATGAAATATTTCAATCAAACTGTTTTCTCTTTGAGTAAATTAATAAACTCTGGAAAAATGCCCTAGCTTTATGAAACTTTGCCACATTACTTTGTTTCGTGATTAGAATGAAATGACACAATATAGAAAAATGGGTATAAAACCATGTTATAGTTATACAAACAATGACTAGGGACGTTCCGCATGTATCTATAGTGTATTTGTGTCCCTGGCTTAGCTGAACTACTATAAAACAATATTTTAATCAGGTTTTTCTCTCTTGATTTTATTTGAAGAAAGCTAAGATTCTAATATATGAGCAGTGAGCTGTAGTTGGGATATATAAGCAGAGTTCATAATAAGAAATCTTTGTCAGTCAGTCCAGGAACATCCTTATATACGTGAAAATATCCAAAGTAGGTGGGTTTTTGAAAGGCAAGAAATTTCTCCTCTGTTATTGAATATCTTTGCTAGTGGTAGATGGAGTTAATAGAAGGAAAACAAAAAACTTTAACTCTAATTATAGCCTTTTCTTCCTTCAGCAAACTTTAACCAATTACTCAGTAATCATGGATGCTAGTAAGGAGGAAATAGGAAAGCTGGCTATCTACTTTTCCTATATCTTTCCCTTAAATTTTGGTGGAATTGATATGAAAAATGCTTTAAGGCAAGCAGTAAGAGAGGCAAATAGGAATGGCATATGGGTGATCTGCAGAACCGTCTGACTTTTAGTTCGTGAATATGTTTGTTTGATTGTCATATTTGAAGTCTTATTATCAGGTACCAAGGCCTTAAAATATGCCTAAATTATGGAGTGATATTTGTGACACTAAAGGAGATGAGACATTATGTAGAAAATAGCAGAGTCTACAGTGCATTCCATGTTTATCATGAATATGTTAACCTCAACTGTCAATTGGAATGTCTAATTTCCCTTGCCTCTTAGATTTTCATTTCCTCATCAGTTGCTATTGATCTGATAGCTCATAGGGAATTCATGGCTGTTCTTGTTGATTGTAATCAGTAAAGCTTTTTGAAGTTAGAAATTACTTGTTTGAGAACATTAGGTGACAAGTTTCAACTCAGTTTGAATGAGTAGCTGTAAAACCATGCAAAAGCAAAATGCAAAAATACTAGAACTTTTTCTTTAAGTATCTTTTTCACTATTGCCAAAGTACACAGAGCAGGATAATCTCTTAAACTTCAGATTATTGTTACAATAAAAATTTGTACTTGGTTTACTAAAACTCTTTATTATAAAATGTAACATTATTTTTAATTGCATTTTTCAACAATCATATTTTTTCATTCCAAGGAATACAAACAAGAGATCCTAATGCTGTGGTCATAGGATTGGCACCAGAACATTTTCATTATCAAACTCTGAATGAAGCATTCCGGTGAGTCTCTAGCTATTTAGCTATTTATTTTTCATCTGGTCATATACTTTCTTCATTCCCTTCTTGAATCTTTGTCATGTAGGTTATACATGTTTTACTTTCCAACCACCTAGATTGTACATGAGGATACACATTTTCAAAATCACTTTAAGATCAATATCAAATATTTACTAGAAATTGGTTGGATGAAATTTGTACATGGGAGGAGGTATCCCCTCAGCCCAGCCTGCACCCTCTCCAATCCGGGACCACTTGGGAGATGTCTGACTGCCAGTTTAAGCCTGATCCCAAGGTTGTAGGAAGCCATCTTGTGAGGGTGTGAGGGTCAATTTGCATATTGCCTCTTTATTATATAGAATTATTATCCTGCTTAGTTTTTAAAAAATTATCAATATGTTAAAATGAGATGATCTTGGTTTGTTTGTTTTTTATAGAATCAGTATTCTGGAGCAGAAATCTATAATAAAATTGCATCTCTTAAAGCTAACAGTTTTATCTTTTATCATCACTCCTATGATTTTCCACTGAATATGCTAATTTCTAACAGAAAAAAGCATCAAGGCTAATGCCTCCAAAATAGTAAACGTGACTCTTCTTTCAGTGAGAATCCATGCATTTGATCATACTTGCAAGGAAATTATACTATGGATGCTAACAGTAGTCTGAACTGGAATAGTAGTAGGGATGAAGAAAATCAGGTTCAGGTAGTATCCACATGACTTGATGAGTGATTCAGTTTAGGAAGTGAAGAAGGGCTGTGAGTCAGGGAGGACATCATATTTCTCACCTGGGCACATGTGATGGAGAACACTCCCTGTGAGGGGTCCCGGAGGCAATAAGTTCAGCTTGGGGCTGTTTGGCATGTGGGACATCTAAGTGGAGATGCTCTGATGGCTGTTGGTTGAAATTGGGGGAAACACAACTAACACAATATAATGTTATAAATCTTCAGTGATGTGTGCATTTTACTTTAATGAACTTTTGCTGCTGCTTACAAAGGGCAGACTGCATACTGGTTATCATACTTCCTAAGATAAACTGGATCAGAATTTACTTACAAATCTGGTCTACAGTGAGATTGTGACTTTTTCCCTTGGATTTTTCTCATCTTTCATCTTACCTTGATTTTTACCGCTTATAAACCATTAAACAGTATACTTTGTCTTTGAATTTATGACAAGTAGCTCAAAATATTATATAGGGATACATTGAACTAGCTTCAAACTTTTTTTTAAGTGGTTTGATAAATTTTGGGTATTTAACGTCAAGAATGCTATAAAAACATCATTTTCTGAGAGTAGAAAGATCTACAAGAATCATTCGAACTTATATTTCATGTAGAATTCATTTATTGATGTATATGTCCTAGAATCACTACAAAGCTCACACATCTGGGCACATTATTTACTGTTAATCGTGAACAATCTGTGTGGCCAGAAATAGCACCTTTTTAGAGCCTCAGTTAATGGAATCTACAGCTACTTAATGCACTTAGTCATTGTGATAGTCTAGCCTTTGTTTAAAAGTCACGTACTCGCTTTTTATAGTTGCTCAGTATCCGCTTACTGTAGTTATTATCTGGAGGTCCACTGCTGTGCCACGTGCGTGAAAAAGTATGTGGTGGTAAAATTTCTTTTGCTTCACCTACTTCAGTTATTCTGTGGCTTCTTAGGGTTGGGGTGGGGGCAATATTATATCACCTGCTCCTTAAGTAAGGTTTACAGCTATTCCAAAATTGGTTTTCATTTGAAATAGAGAACCTACTTCCGAATTTACTCCTACTATCTTTTATTCATTTCTTTAACCACAGAATTCAAGGAGAAGGTATTGATTGATCTTTAGCTAGTAATTTGGGAAGGACATATTTAATAGGTCTCTGCCTTAGATGAATGCTTGGCTCAGGGTAATAAAAATGTATGTTGACATAATACTGACTTTATAATTGCTCGGATGCTGTCTAATTAGTACACTTCCCTAACCATATTGATTTTTTTAAACACTACACTTTGAAGCATTACAGTGCACTTATAGGTCAACTCTAATTTCACAAATGCACTTAACAGCTGGGTGGAGAGTTAACAGAAGGATTTTAGGTCTTGCCCTTCTTTGCATATTGATGTCTCCACAGAGACTGTGCCTTCCAACCAGTGACTACAGCTGTTTGGATTGTAAGTGGCAAATATAGACATCTCAAATGAACCACCGATTAGTTAAATTACTGTTCAGGTTGATAATGAGAATAAACATTGGATTTTAAACCCCATGGCATAGCTGCCTTGAACACCAGCTTCAGAGGCCTATTGCCCTCAGGTGGATGCATTAGCCTTCCACATTACATTGCCTCTTATTTACTATTTTAAATGGGAAGGCCCCCCAAAATGCATAATACAATTTGGCTATAACTATGTCCTAAGTGTTTGAATGAATTGAGGATACTGCATTCTAGAGATTGATTTTTAAAGAAGAAATAGACATGATTTGGGGGTTGGATTCTAGATAGAAAACATTTAAATTCGAGGAGCCAGTGGTGTCTTTTTTCCTTTTACCTACCACTAAAATATACAAGGGATAATATAACAAACATCCTTAAGCCTATCAAACAGTTCCAGAAATATAAGTATTGACACATGTGATATCCCTGCATATCCTTCCCCAATTTTATCACCCAAGACCTAAAATTAATCAGGATTCTGAATTGTGTTATTCATTTACATGCATTTTTTAAAGGTATTCCTAAACAATATATGGTATTATTTTGCATGTTTTATACTTTACTTATCAATTGCTTTTTCCCTAGTAATATTGTATGACTCATCAAAATGAATATCTATAGCTCTGGTGTATTCATTTTCACAGTTGTGATACAAGCTTGTAGCAATGTCTTTTTCATCTTCTGACCTCAGTTTAGACTTGACCATTTTAGTAATGGGCCAATTACAACTAAATTTAATGATCTCTATTAGGAAGAAGGCTACCTGAGCAAGCAGCTCACTTAATAATTTAATTTGAACTTAGCATTAACAAGATAAAAAAAAAATATCGCAACACAAAAGTAATATGTCTTCATTGTGGAAAATTATATATGCTCAAAAGAGAATAAACAAAATTCTTCCATCTAGCTAGTTTGTTTCCATGCATATATCTATTTAGGCAAAAAAAATGAGAATCTATATATACTCTGTATGTCTACTATGTGGTAATTTGCTTTTTAAAAACCCAATATTATGTTGTGCATGTTTTTCCACATTCTTAAATATTCTTCTAAAACATGTTTGATTCCCTTAGCATATTCCACTCTCAGAAGTGCAATTAGTTGAATAGCCAGATTCCTTATTGTTGGTTATTTCCAGGTTTTTTAAGTTAACTTAAGAAAAACACCACCTTTGAGAACATTAGTTAAGCAATATTTATGTTTGTTCCTTAAATTTTTTTCAGAAGTATAGTTGTTGGATCAAAGGAATTTTGAGGAAAAACTGCATGGAATAGCTTAACCTAGGAAAAGTTCAAGTTTTTAAAATAAATTAAGAGCAACTACTCTCCAGTCTCTAGAAGAGTTTATTTAAAATGTTATTCTAGTCCCAGTCACTTTGGCTCAGTGGGTAGGGCCATGGTCCCAGGACTGAAAGGTCCCGGCTTCCATTCTGTTCAAGGACATGTTACCTCAGTTACAAACCCATGTAGTAGGTGACTAATCAATATGTCTATTTCACATCTATGTTTCTCTATCTCTGCCTCTCCCCTTCCCTTCCACTCTCTCTAAAAAGCAATGGAAAAGTATCCTCAGGTGAGGATTAACAAAACAAACAAGTTATTCTACCTAAAAATAAGTAACATCACAACTTTCACATTTAAATGCAAGAGGTATAAGGCTGCTTAAGAGCAATGTTTTGAACATTCAAAATGACTTAATTTTGAAGTTAATGATTTCTTTCCTATAATTATTACAAGGTGGGAGAATCCTCGAAAAGTCTTAGAGATGTGCAGAAATTAATTTTTTTGTTTTTCAGGAGGAGATTTTTATCACCATAAATGGTTTCTGTGGACTGTTAGATTGCTATTCTTTTCCAGGCTCCTCAAGAAAAAAATTAAAAATTAATTGCTCCAATATATCTAATTCCTTAGAAAGGGAAAAAGAGAAGGGGAGAAAAAAGGTCTAAAACTATGACTTCAATTATTATTGCATTTGTACAGAAACTTCTGCATCTTTTCTAAGTATTTAGAGTCCCGAGCATGAGGAATTCCAGAACAGTGTGACAGCAGGACTCACATTAGAATATTTCTGTGGGCTTTATCCATTATGAAAGTGCTGACTGCTGCTTTGCAATTTCTTAATTCAAATCCAATCTATGAAAAATTGTTTAAGACTTAAGAACTCGAGTTGTTTAAAGTATTCCATTAGTATATGCAAGAGAACCACTTTATATCCCTATTTGAAATCCACAGAATACAGAATTGAGTTTAATATCTGTCACTAACTGCCCTTATTTTTTTTTTAAATATATTTCATTGATTTTTTTTTTTACAGAGAGGAAGGGAGAGGTATACAGAGTTAGAAATATCTATGAGAGAGAAACACCAATCAGCTGCCTCCTGCACACCCCCTACTGAGGATGTGCCCGCAACCCAGGCACATGCCCCCGACCGGAATCGAACCTGGGACTCTTCAATCCCCAGGCCCATGCTCTATCCACTGAGCCAAACCAGTTTCGGCAGCTCTTATTTTTTAAATTGGAGATATTGTTACACGATCAAGGCAACTTTTGCTACTCTAAATAAAAGTTGCAGTTTAAAAAGCCACATAAATATATTCTGTTACTTTTTTATTAATCTGTAACATATACAGTAAAGTACACAAATTGTCAATATACAAGTCAGTAGCATTTTACACATAGATATATACCTGTATAACTCTCTGATCAAGATCTAGAACATTTCCAGTTTTTGGTCTTCATATGAATTAAATCATACAATTGTATAATTTTTGTCTGTTGTCGAGATTTATCCAAGTTGTTGCAGGTAGCCCTACTTGTTGTTTTGCTTCTTATTTATTTTTGTTGTGTAGTAGCCTATTGTATGACTTTCCCACAATTTATTTATTGTTCATTTGGATGGTTTCCAGTTTGGGCTGTTATGAATAAAGTTGCTATGAATGCTCTTCAACATGTCTTTACATGTCTTTTGGGGATGTATGTGCTGATTTCTCTTAGGTCTGTAGAGTAGTGGAATTACTGGGTAATAAGTACTTGTTTAGCTTTAGTAAATATTGCTGAACAATTTTCTAAAGTCATTATAGCAAGTCATATATTCCCACTGGCAATGAGTGAGTTTCAGTTGCTCCATATCCCCCCCCAATCTCTGACCAGTCTGTGTAATTGCAGCTATTCTGTTTGGTGTGTATAATGGTATTTTACTGAATTTCAGTTTGTGTTTCCCTGGTGAGTAATGTTCTTGAAACATTTTCATGTACTTATTGACCAGTGGATAATTTCTTCGCAGTGTGCCCATTCAAATCTTTTACCTTTTCTGATTGGGTTGTATTTTTCTTACTGATTTGTGTATATGATGGAACGCATTATATATACATGGATATATATATATATATATACACACACACACACACACACACACACACACACACACACACTTAGATACTTTATCCCTGCCTTTTTGTGCTCTTAAAGTATGAGAACATGATGTTCTTAATTTTGATAGAGTCCAATTGTCAAAATGTCTCGTTGTGCTAAGGTTGAAAAATCCTGATAGTTTAGTCCCTTCATTAATAAAAAAACCGAGGCCCACATGAAGTGATTTGCTGGTACCTATTTTAAGAAGTACGGACACTACATTCTGGACCAGAAAATACCGTGAGGCTGGGTGGAGGCAGTACTATGCATTGTAGGATGTTTAGCAGCATCCTTGGCTTCTATCCACTAGATGCAAGTAACACCCCTTTTTCCCCAGTTGTGACAACCAGAAAGTCTTCAGGTGCTTCCAAATGTCACTGGGTAGCAAAACTGCCCCTGGTTCCGAATTACTGAACTAGATGTTTGCCTAAGATGTTTCTGTTGTGGTCCTGCCTCTCAGTAGGATTTTTCAGTTTGTTCCGTTGCCCACACGGAAATCACAGCCAGCGTTTTTTGCATCAGGCCTTTGTGCCCTTTCTTCCTTTGTGCCCTTCTTGTACTCCGGTGGTTTTATAATTAGATATAGACAGAAAATTATCAGAACATTTCCTTCTGATACATTATTTCTGTTATCAAAAACAGCCACCCCTTTGCTGGCCTAATAGTTATAAAAACACTCCTAAGTATTGGAGTGTCTATTTTTGATATTTCAAAAAATGTCCTATATAATAATGAGCCAATATGCAAAGGTCATCATGCCCTCGCACTAGAGCTGGGGGACCTGAGGCTTCGCCCCCCACCCTGCGGGGCTTGATGGGGGCTGGCTGGGTCTGTCTTGAGTGATTTCGAGGCTCGCGCGGGTGGACAGGGACTTGACTCTGGGTCCTGTGGCTCGCCCCAGAGTCTGACAGAAGGGAAATTTTCATATGCATTTTACTACTTTTCTTTCATCTCTGACACTTCTATTATAGAGAAAGGGCAAATAGCAACATTAAAATATTTCCTCTAATCCCTTTTAATGTACACGAATTTCGTGTACTGGGCCACTAGTTTAACTATAAAAGTTCTAATCTGTTTCCTAGAAAATGTTTACTTTTCAATCTGTCCTGAATATGCTTGGCTCTTCAAAGACTCGGTAAAGCTTATGCTGTGCAGAGGATGATAGAAGCAGGAACCACTTCCCCGAGAGATGCCTGTCTCTTCCAGCCTCGTGCAGTCCAGTTTCCACTTAGAGACATGTAGAGGAGCCCACAGCCTCAGCCCTTTCAGGGAAGGCACTAAAGCACTGCCTGGGAATTGAGTACACACATCAATCAGGCTGATAAGTCTTATCCCCAGTTAATACATAATAAAATATTAACAAAGCCAAATCAAATGAGTTTTTAGTTTAGCTATGTAAGTGGAAAGCAATTTTGAGGTCTGTTGCATAAAGAATTCCAGTTCCGTGGTAGAGTAGAAAATAAATGGGGTTGGGGGTGGGTGACAAGAAGGGAGATAGATAAATCACCCATTATTATCTCATTGCTATCAGCTGTGGTTCTTTAAGGCCAACATAGTGGCTTTTTCAGGTTTCCTAACAGCTAGATTTTAAGGTCTGCTTTAAGAAATAAACTTGTATTAATATTAGTGAATAAATTTGAAGGATCTATCCTGTGCTGTGAGCAATTTGTAGTAACTAACAGAAAGGCCCTGGAATAGTCCAGTATTGGTTTTTACTTAATAAAATGTTTAATCATAAATGTCTGAATTCTGCATATCCCACAGGAAGGCATTTCCATGCCCACCGACAAAAATAATTTAACACTTTCATAGCTGAGCGCTTAATTACTCATAATTGTGAAGGGTAAGATGTGATAAGTTCTTTCTTGATGTACATACTAAATATTTTAACTAAGTAGATGGCTTAAAGTAAATTAATTTTGTGAGATCATTCATTGCATTGGTTAAAAGCAGTTTCAGCGTATCATGTCCTGCATTCCATTAGATGATAATATTGGTGTGACTCTTTTGCTATGAGACTACAGGCAGATTTTTTTTGAATGGGGGTTGGGTGGTGAGAATTAAGTTGTTGGTGGGGTCTTTTTGGCTTGTTTTATGTTTTGCCTAAGTCACTACTGAGGATTCTTAACTATATGTAAAGATTGGTTATCAAATTAATGGTAAGATGCTTTGTGCTCTTCATTTGGTATGAGAATAATTATCCTAATATCAGGACAACAAAAGAGATGTGGCAGTAAAGGCTCTCCCTTAAACCTTGTTGGTGTGTCCTTCAGGGAAGGAGGTCTGATTTGCAAAATAATGTCAGAAGCAGTCAAAAGGTAGAATGAAGACGTAAAGTGTTTGTAAAATGCTCTATTACAGTTCTGAATTAGAGAGAAACTTAAATATTGGAGTAGAGAAAACAGGAAGTCAGGTATTTGGGAGTTAGCTGAATGTGTCACTGCAGCAACAGTTGTGATATTGGAAAGGGCTCAAGAGCCTCTTGCTTACCATTAGGGAAGGTTAAAACAACTTGTCTCATTAAGTTAAGCTTCTTCCCTCGAGTGTCTTATTTAGCTTTACTTCTCTTAATTCTCTTTCCCTGGTGATTCGGGTAAAGTGTCTGAAACCTCTAAAGGTAAAAGGTTGAAGCAATCCCAAATTTAATAATCTATCACCTTTCTTCAGTGTATTTGAGTTTAATTCCCAGCAGTTCTTAGAGAATTCATTAGAAGATAGCAAGTCATTAAAAGTTAATAAGAAACTCTTTGTTTCTGTGAATGTGAAGACTGTAAAACCACTTTGTAAGCCTGACATTCTTTTCCAATCATGGAGGCCTTGCTTTTAGCCAGTCTCCATTTTCTCTGTCTCTTTAGCTTAATCCTGAATGGGGCACCTCTGATAGCAATCCACAAATCCAAGTATTACAAGAAGATAGATGGCTTAGCCCTGGGGCCTGGACCATTTGTGACTGCTTTGGAGTATGCCACAGATACCGAAGCCATAGTAGTAGGAAAACCAGAGAAGACATTCTTTTTGGAAGCACTGCGGGGCACTGGCTGTGAACCTGAGGAGGCCATCATGATAGGAGACGTAAGTAGAGAGCCCAGGAAATGCCCTGAGTTCACTTGCCATGCTGGGCTGAGCCAGCTTGGAAGCACTACTTCTCACCCAAGCAGACTCTGCTGCTGACAACATCGGATGGAGAAAATGCCTGCCGCTAAGTCAGGCTTCAGGTAGATGTGTAGTGGTATTCTTCTGAAGAACTGACATTTTGATGATTTCTGACATTCTCTATAGCAATGGTTCTCAACCTTTCTAATGCCATGACCCTTTAATACAGTTCCTCATGTTGTGATGACCCCCAACCATAAAATTATTTTCATTGCTACTTCATAACTGTAATTTTGCTACTGTTATGAATCATAATGTAAATATATCTGTGTTTTCCGATGGTCTAGGCGACCCTGCTAGTGGTTCTCCACCTGTGGATCGTGACCCACAGGTTGAGATCCGTTGCTATAGAGCCTAAGGCCATTATCTGGTCTGAATCTCTCCATTTTCTGACTGGGAAGCTGAAAAATGGAGTTGGAAGTCTGCATGCCTCCATTCCTGCAGCTAATTGGTGGCACAGCTGGAAGTAAAACTTGAGGCTCTGGATGCCTGCCAAGACAAACTGTAGATCTCTTGCTTTCTTAACTTGTGGTGGTGCAAGTGTTTCATAGTTCTCCTGATACCCTCTTTCACTTCGGTGTGTTCATCTCACACTGAATAGGATAGTCATTGAACTTGGTATTGTTTTCTGAAGCCATCTTTTCAGTCACATCTATTCTTCTTGGCAAGTCTTCATCTGACTTTCCTAGGCAAATATGTGTTTGAAGAGTGGTTATTGGAGTTTTTTATCCCAGAAGACACTGGTTTTGGGACAGGGTGGGAGGCAGGAAAGGCATGCAATAGAAGCTTTGTGCAGGGTCACACAGAATGGCGGTTTCTACCCTCCCTTTCTTTGTCACTTTTCCCCACCTCCCTTCCTTCTCTTCCATCCCCCATCTTCATTTTCTTCAGGCGTGATCTGAATGAAACTTGCTTACAGATATGAGATAACAGGATCGATTTTCTTGATGTTTCTCCCAGTTCTTGGATTTTATTACCTTGTGTTTATCATCACAATCAACCAAGCATATGCATCCCCATCATGAGTAAGAATGGAAAGAGGACCTCCTCTTCTAACTGATCGGCTGTTCCCAAGTACGAAGTGAATGTCAGACAGTCCCACAGTCTAAAAATACTGATTTGACTTGGTTGCAGCTGTTAGGGATAATCAGATGGAAGGTAAGGATAATATATTACACCAGAGGTTCATTACACAATATTCATGCAAGAATAAGCCTTCCTTCCCCTGGATTTGCTCCCGGCCACCCGGGAGCCTGCAAGTCCTTGCTCCCCACCAGAGCACTAATCCTGTAACTCCCTCTGCCTCCCTCATAGCAGGCATCCTGCTGCCCCTCTGTGCTGCTCTGCACCTGCATATGCAAACCAAACCACCATATTTGTCGGGTTAATTTGCATACTCACTCCTGACTGGCTGTGGGTGTAGCAGAGTTATGGTCAGTTTACATGTTTGTCTATTATTAGGTAAGAAGATGGGCAGCAGAAAACTAGACTTCTGAGTCTAGTTCACTCACTGTTTGCAATTGGATCATCCACCTTAAAAGCTGCCAGATGGATAGAATGCTTTTCCTATTATCTGTTTTGAGAGAAGATCGACGCACACATTGAAGAACTGTGACTGTGCTCTTTGTGTTGGGTACTAGAATGACTGCTCTGTTGTATACCTTCCACCTCTATGACTCTTCCCTTTCCAAATGGTGTGCTGCCTCAGACTATTACATGTGAATTTACCCATTTTTACATCTTCCTGTCTTTCATTAAACAAACAAACATGGGGTTATAGTTGGCCATCCCCTAGCCTAAGAAGTCAAACCAGTTGGTTGGAAGGGTTTTATCAGCAAGTAAATTGAAGACCTGATACTAAATGCTTTCTTTGTGCTTTCTAGGATTACAAAGTTGATGTTGGTGGGGCTCAGGATGTTGGCATGCTGGGCATCTTAGTAAAAACTGGTATGTATCTTCTGTATAAGCCTTCTCTAAAACAGGATGGTGGAATACAGAGTTGCTTAAAGGAAAGTTCTTACAGAAATAGCAAAGCCAAATCACTGGACACTGTAATTCTCTTTCTGCCGCAAAGCAAAAATAAAATGGTCTTCGGATTGCAGGAAAAAAACACATAGTCATTAGCTTCCTCCAGCCTCTTCCTCAAGACCTCAGCTGAAGCAATGTTTTGCAATTCTTCTTTCCCTTCTTATTTTATTTTATTTCATTATTTTTTAACCTTTATTGTTGAAAGTATTACAGATGTCTCCTTTTTTTCTATTTTTACTCCCTCTATCCTGTACCCTCCTCCCCCAGGCCTTCACTGCACTATTGTCTATCCATGGGTTATGCATATATGCATATAAGTTCTTTAATTAATATCTTCCCAACCCTTCTTCCTACCTTCTTTCCTTCCATTTTTTAAAAATAGTTTTATTGATTTCAGAGAGGAAGGAAAAGGGAGAGATAAAAACATCAATGATGAGACAGAATCATTGATCAGCTGCCTCCTGTGCACCTTGTACTGGGGATGGAGCCTGCAACCCAGGCATGTGCCCTGACCAGGAATTGAACTGCAACCTCCTGGTTCATAGGTTGAAGTTCAACCACTGAGTCATACCTGCTGGGCTCTCCTTCTATTCTTAAAAATTAATTGTAGAATTTGCTAGTCATGTCAGGTGCTGAGGGTACATTGGGGAATATAAGAGACCTAGTGCCTACTCTCAGAGAGTTTAAGAATCTCAGGTGTGAGTCAGACATTAAACAAATACATAAATAATTATAAATTGTTATAAATATCATGGAGGCAAAAAAAAACAAAAAAAAAAAAACAGGCTACTAAGAGAGAATAACAGGGAGGCGATCTAATTTGGATGGAATATGGAATCTGATTTGAAGCATAAGGGTGATAAGAATGTTCCAGGCAAAGAATAGCAGGTATGGAGGTCCTCAAAAGAGCCAGGTCCAGTCTAGGACTGCAGCCTGTGATAAGTGCACATGCCGGCGTGAGGGGGCTGCTAGGGCCCATGTCAGAGGCCTGCTAGGTAACAATAGAGATTTTGGGGCTCTTTCTGAAGGGCTGTGGGACCCAGTAAGAGCGTTGAAATAGGGACCACAAGTCATCTGATTTTCATTGGTAAAAGCTCTCTGTGACCACTGTGTGAAATGGGGCCTCTGCTGTGTTGGGATATTCATTTGTGTGTCTTGAATTTCAGAATCTGGGGCAAGTTGCGCAGTGTCCTGCCCCTTGAGTCCCTGCCATGCACATGGTCTAGCTCAGGCCTATGATTATCCATCACTCTTCCCTTCCCACCCCCAGGTGCTCTCATTTGCCAGGCACATAGGGCTCCTGCTTGGCAGCAGTCACCCTCAGGAGCTGACAGGGCTCTGTCCTGTTTGGTCTGGGCTTGCATTTAAAAGCATTGATTTTACTCACCATTTCTATCCTCTGGGCTGGTGGGGGTAGAAAATGATTTCATCAGCTGTGGAGTTTTGAAGGGACCCTTAGCTGTCAGGTGACCCAGTACCTATGACTGTGAATGGCTAGAGGTAGGCCTGGAAAATGCTGAATGTGTTATTTCTTTGAATTGCCTCACTGCATCTCAGTAAAAGGTGCTTTGTGAGATATGGACCCTGATTCTGGAGTAATTGGAAGGGTGGTTCTGCGGTGGCCTAGGTGTCCACAGGCTGTGATCCCTGACATTCTAGCAGTAGCCTTCGTTCACTTTCTTTACTTCCATTTCAGGAAAATACCGGCCAGGAGATGAAGAAAAAATTAGTCCACCTCCTTACTTAACGTGTGAGAGTTTCCTTCATGCTGTGGACCACATTCTGCAGCATCTACTGTGAACCATTATGTGAATCAGAAGCAACTTGAAACGAAGCTTTTCATCGCCTGGAATAAATCCCTTACCAACTCAGCGCCAGCACAGGCAGACACAGCCCCCAGCGCTGAGATGTGTAACCCTCTTGTATTGTGCACTAATTAGAAAGAAAAGTACTGAATACTGCTAGCCACTAAGCCTTGCTTATCTCTTTTGTTGTATTTTGTAAAAGAAGATGAGACCTGAAAAAAGGGGAAGCTGAGATTTTATGCCATTACTTTTAAAATATTCATCAGATTAGGCAGGGCTGGGAGGGAGAAGCTACTGCAGGGAGTCGAGTTCTCGGCTGTCTCCTCACTGGTAAATTGGAAGAATGGGTTCAGATTGTGAATGAAGTTGAAAGATGCATTACGCTATAGTTTTAATATTCAGTTCAGCTGTGAAACCCATCAGAAGTGCCAAGTGGAGTACAAGTCAGAAGCAGCAAAATAAATTGTCCTTTAGCCCAAGTGATTGAATGAATTTGCTTTAACGGATGTTGAAAACTAGATTATCTGCTGTATTATTCCCAGCACGGATGACTTCTTTTTCTCTTCATTAGCCAGAGATGACTAATTTAAATTTAGAACCTGATTTTAATTTAAAATAATATTTCCATTAATAACCTATTCATTGCAGATACCTATTATACTGTGTAACAGTTGTTTTGGAAATTTTATGTAAAATTAAAACTATCAGTATTTTACAGATGTTTTAATTAGACATTGTTATTAACAGGAACAGTACAGAAACTAAAATCAAGCCTTTAATGTCTTATAGACCATGCATTTTTGAAGTTAGTGTCCACAAGGGTCCTATTTACTGTACATTTGCAAGATTTCATTATTTTTGCCTCTGACACTATGGGAAAAATCTTGTAGAAGCTATTGGGACAGATTCAGGCTTTTATGTACTTGGTTACTACAGCTGTAAAATGAAATCGCGTCTGGTAGCATGGATTATTCTTCTCATGTTAAACCCACCAAAATGAAGGGGACTAAATAGGTAATGATTTTCCTGGTGCATTTGCATACTGTGATAATCCTGGGCCTTTGCAATTGTTTTACAGGACTCTTGGGCATTGAATTATTAGCATGTAATTGTACATCATTGTAGTGTTCACCTTATTGAAGCACACACTGATGTTAATGAGCTTTGGGTTTTGATTCTTGTTTAGATATCAGCTTGATCTTAAATGGGAGGGAGCAAAGCTAAATAAATGGCAGCTGTTCTCCTCCTCTCCTTTTGGTAGTTTGGTGACCACTGTCTTTGTTCTTGCAGAAGCCCCAACTTAGTACCTAAACATACTAGAATGAAGATAGATATGACAGGGCCACCACCCCAGATCGAAAGATGAGTGAGTGGCAGAGAGCATAGATATGGGAGCCTATCCAGCATGTAACTAGTTCTGTAATCCTGGGCAAGTGATCTAGCCTCATGTGCCTCCTTTCCCTGATTTGTAAAAATGGAGATAACGATCATGTCCACCACACAGGCTTGTTGTGAGGGTTAAATTCATGTTCATACATTAGGTACTTAGAATCAAGCAAATGCTAGGTGGTGGTGGTGGTGGTGGTGGTGGTGGTGGTGGTGGTGGTGGTGGTGGTAGTAGTGGTGGTGATATAGCAGTAGTATCCACAATGTTTAACAATGTGGAAAGGATTGGTGGGATTCCTCTCTATAGTTCCTTCAATGGGGAAAGTCTTCCTGAGAGTTTTAAAAAGAAAGGAAAGAACGAACGAACGAAAGAAGAAAGACGTTCTGTTACATTTCAGTTCCCTGGGAGCACAGCTGCACCCAGAGCAGCTCAGTGTACAGGTAGAGTGCTGCTTGGTGCCTGGTGCAGGGGCTGCATTAAATTTTGGCCTGTCATCTGGTCGCCTGGATCAGTGATTGTTTGCTAGTTGCTCTGTGTTACATGCCAGACTAGGAAATGAGCATGTAAGAAAAGGAGTTAGCCTGGAGGACCCTTACTCATGGAGGAGCTGAGGGGAACACACAGACATAAATACTCCATTCGTCCTTTGTGATGTCATCCTGACTGCAGAATGGAGAAAGGCATTCCTACCTTCGAGCTGCATAGCACTTACTAGATTACATTTAGGTCTTCACGTGTCTCTTGTACTCACCAGACAGGGCTGTGGCTCGTTTTTTTAAAAAAAAATATCTGCTACAACACACGCACTCAGATGGCTACTGAACCAATACAAAAACTAACTAAATATTACAGGAATTTAACACTAGAAGGTATAGCTGTGGGGAGGGAGAACAAATAAGATTCATTTTAGTCTTGTTGCCATAGGGGAAGCCCCCTTAGACACTTGGAAATAATGGATCTAGTGCTCTGGAGACAGGTTAGAGCCAAAGCAAAAAAGTAGGAATCACTGATGGCCAGGAATTAAATAGAGTGACAGGAAGGGTGAGATCACTTGAGCATATCATCCACCCAAGAGGAATGGCTTCTCTGCTTTGCTTCATTCTGGTTTGGCCCCATGGACCATTACCATCTCAGTTTGATACTTTATTGATTTAGCAAACATTATATAGGGCTCACTAACCACCTGTCCACCAGTTCATGAGGATAAGTAAAAATTTTGGTTTAGATCCAGGTTAGTATGAATTTTCCCAGCTCAGCTGGTTGGTCTGTCTTGGGCCTCATGAAGCAGATTTTTCGGCCCTCCCATGTGAAGGGCTATCTTGTGATACAAACCACAACTACAGGACAATATTTGCATCAGGTTTACTATAATTTTGTCATGGGGCTAGAATAGGGACTAAGTGACATCTTAGGACTAGAAAGGGTATTAGAGAACACCCAAAGTCGGGAGATGGTTATTGAGTATCTGCTGTGAGCCAGGTCCTTGCTAGGGGTGGAGGAGGACGAAGCCCTAGGCCAGTGGAGGAGACTTGCTTGTTGCATCTTCACTCACACCTCCAGAATCTGCCAGTTTTGCATAGCTCTACCACCATTTTATCTCTGTCAGAGCCTATTGTAATACCTAGGAAAGGAAAAGGAGCTCACCCTAAGCAACAGTTCCATCAAACACCTATAACTGTGGATGTCAGAAGTTTCCTCATCCTTAATTTCACATTTAAATATTACAGTTGCATGTTGGACAGGAGAGTAAAAAACACAGGTTGTGTTCAATTGGTTTGGATCAATCGTTCCTGTAATAGGAAACTGAAGTCTTTGGGTACCTATAATAGACAACCAGAGCAAGGCACCTACGCACCAAAAAATCATAATTTATATATCTGTTTTAAAAAAATTTTTTTGAATACCTTACTTTTTTTCAGTGCTTACTCTCAGGCCATAAACATCTCAACACCTATTTGTTTCACTAGCTGTTGTGCCTGCGAAGATCAATATTAAATGCCCACTGTGTGTAAAGCACTAAGGAAGAGAGAGCAGAATGTAGCTCCCACTACATTGTTAAGGCATACCTTCTAGTTGGGAAATCGATGCATATAAAAATAGATCTAACAGTGCAAAGGGCACTGGCAAGTTCAAGGGGTTGCATAAGTCCTGTCACATGCACTGAACTAAGTGCTTTGGCGAGCACAAAATGTTTCATTCATTCAATAGCAGTGTAAAAAGTATCACAACCATAGTGTTAACATTTAAGTAAGGTATGCAGATGAAACAACAGATATTGATAAAGTGATGAAGATGACTAAAGCCAGTAAGAATGAGGAGGTTATTTTATAATTAATGTTATTATTTTACAATATACAAAATAAATCTATAACCAGATTGTAAATATAAAATAATTAGCCATTGACATGCAATCAACATTAATATTTCAAGAAAACTAAAGAGGGAATATGCAAATTGAAAATCACTCTATCATAAAGATGATGGTGCCCAATCCCCTCAGCCCCACTGTAGTCTCCCAGTCCTGAGGGGAGGGCGGCTATACCACCTGCCTGCCAGGAGTCCCCCAGTCCTTTCAGTCCTACTGGCGGTGAGCAGACACCAGAGCCTGCTTGCCTGTAGCTGCAGTGTCGAGCAGGCAGGCCTGCGCAGAAAGCAGAGAACCACAGAAGCTTCTGAGGGCTGGATTGGAGAAGGTGCAGGTTGGGCTAAGGGACCTCCCTCATGCACGAAATTCATGCACCGGGCCTCTAGTTTTAAATATTATACTACATGCAATAAATGTTAATATTTCAAGAAAAAAAGATTTTAAATAATACCAAAACTGTACTAACATCACAAAAGTTATAGGAAATATTAAAAAAAAAAAAAAAAAAAAACAACCTGCAAATAACAGGATTACTTCTATTATATTCTAAAATGTTTTTTTTTCCTTTGGCTCTATTTTTATTCATCTGTTTATGTTGTCCATTATATTTCACAAGTAAGTGAGATCATGTGACATTTATCTTTCTACAACTAGCTTATTTTGCTAGGCATAATGCTCTCCAGGTCCATCCATGCTGTTGCAAATGGTAATAGTTCCTTCTTTTTTACAGCAGTGTAGTATTCCATTGGTAAATGTACCAGTTTTTTAATTTATTCATCTGCTGATGGGCACTTGGACTGCTTCCAAATCTTAGCTATTGTAAATTGTGCTGCTATGAACACAGGGGTGCATATTTTCTTTTTGATTGGTGTTTCTATTTTGGGGGGTATATATTCCTAGAAGTGGAATTACTGGGTCAAATGGAGTTCCACTTTTAGTTTTTTGAGGAAACTCTATAGACTGTTTTCCAAAGTGGCTGCACCAGTCTGCATTCCCCCCAGCAGTGCAAGAATCCTCGCCAGCACTTGTCATTTGTTCATTTGTTGATGATAGTCATTCTAACAGATATGAGACGGTACCTCATTATTTTGATTTGCATTTCTTAGATGATTAGTGACTTTGAGCATGTTTTCATATGTCTGTTGGCTTTCCTTATGTCCTCTTTCACAAAGTATTTATTTAGGTCCATTGCCCATTTTTTTTTTTATTGGATTGTTTATCTTCCTTTTGTTAAGTTGTATGAGTTACCCGTAAATTTTAGAGATTAAACCCTTATCAGAGATAACATTGGCAAATATGTTCTCCCTTGCAGTGGGTTTTCTTGTGGTTTTGTTGATGGTTTCTTTTGCTGTGCAGAAGCTTTTCATTTTGATGTAGTCCCATTTGTTTATTTACGACAAGATATACGACACATGTCTGATATTTTGCTGCCTATGGATTCTTCTAAGATTCTTATGGTTTCCCATCATATGTTTAAGTCCTTTATTCATTTTGAGTTTATTTTTGTATATGGTGTAAGTTGGTGGTCTAGTTTCATTTTTTTTGCATATATCTGTCCAATTTTTCCAACATGAGGGATTTATTTTAGATGAGTAGGGTCAACATCTGTCAGCTATTTCAAATGCAGCTCAATTACTGGCTTTCCTAGGAAGATTGGAAGATCTGGCAAGGTTAGGTCTGAATTTCTGTATTCAGTTGGAGCTGAATCACTATTGCCATTCAGAGAGATTTGGCCCTCTCTACTTCCCCGTAGTCCCCAACTCTTCCTTGTTTTACACCCCCCTCACTTTACTCATGTGTTATTACATTCCAGGTTCCTAAATGAATTTGAGTTGTGACCCCTGCTTTAGAAGAAAGCACCATATGTTGGATTAGGTTACTTTTTTCCCTTCAATTAAATGGCCAACCTCCTGTATCCCTATAAACTCAGATGTGCTTTTAATCTACTTTTAAAAAATAATCATAGACTCTGTAAACATAGTGGATTAATTATATATGTTAAGTGGTCTCTTTCAAAGCCTTAGTAAAGAGGAAAGGAAGAAAGAATGTATAAATCCAGGAAGACAACCTACAAGAGAACAGTAGAAGAGATACCATGGATGAGAGGGTGTAAGAATTTGGAAGACGGTAAGTGAATGCAGTGTTGATAATTAAAATCAGCACAAAGAACCAAAATGTATCCTTAAGAACCATCTCAAAAACTCAAGGCTGGGTGGTACTAGATAGAGAGAAAGTAGGGTGTGAGGCAGGATTGAGAGTAAGGAATTATTTGAAAGCTGGTAAACAAAATGGAGCCCTACACCCTGTCCACCCTGACAGTCAAATGAGTATCCCCAGCCTAGGCAGGAAAATAGGGGTTTATTTTTTTGAACAAAATGAAGCCATGAAAGTTGAGGCCTTGGGGACAGTGGTGTGGTAGTGGGCCAGGGTGAGAGGCTGCGGGGCTGACGATGGGAATTAGGCACGTGTCCGCTTACACTACAGGGGTCCTCGGTTCCCTTCCCCTTGAAAATTTGTCTGGTATTTGGCCATTTGGAAAATAATACTGATAACTGACTGATCTGAGGATGTGTTGCAAAAAAAAAAAAAAAAAAAGACATTTAGAAAACTAAGCAAATGAAGGGAAAGGCCAGTTAAATTATTAATTCCAGGTAAGACAAAAGTCACAAAAAAGAAACTGTAATTCTGATTTACTAGTTGGCTCTGCAGTGAATACTGATTATTGAGTTAACCTAGCATCATAACATGACCATTTGGGATGATAAGGAAAGACATACTGTGTGGTAGGAACAGGGCAGATGGATGAAAAAGTTATATTTAATTTCATCCAAAGCAGGAAGTCATTTTAATATATAAACCGTCTTTTAAAAAAGAACTCACCAAAATAAAAGTGTGACCTGAAAACGCATAATTATTTGGAGACAATCTTTGGCAAGGGAGAAAGGAGAAGGATTAAATATGTGATTGAATGAGGTTGAAAGTATTACAAGATGAACTTGGCAATTTTTAAAAGGAATGGAGGAAGGATGTGGAGATGTGTTCAGTGCACAGTGGGCTGAATGTGGGGTTCTGGAAGTGGAAGAAGATTGGGTATTTTTACTGTGAGGAATGTCAAAAACCACACATCTAGAGAAGGAGTGACATTTCCAAGTGAGGCCTACTCTGATAGGGGTGCGCTGCTGATAAAACTGATTGAGGTCAGAAGTACCGTGAGCTGATGGAATTCAGAATATTGTCAAAAAGAAATAGACTCTACATTTCCTTTCCTGCTCCCATCTTTATCCACCCTTGAACTATCAGCAGGTCAGATGGTCTATCAAGCTTAGCTTCCAATTGGCTCCCCATCTCAGAACCACCCCCTGCATTCCAACACACTTTTCCTAACTACACTTTTCTTTCCATCAAAATGAAAATCTCAGTCACAAATGAGGAACATGGCAACAAATTGTTCATCAAAATTTTACAGAGTTTAATTGTAAGAAAAGTCTCCATTATATGACCTGATAGCACATCTGACTGTAATTGAAATCTTGAATATTTTGCTGACATCAATTATGAAAAATTAATGAAAATATCTCATTTCCAAAGCAATACAGTTGTCCAAATTAATTCAGTCTTCAAGAATGATTTTTCTCTCTTCTTATTCCAATCATTATGTTCTTCCACTTACACTAATAAACCAGAAGGCCTCTGTGGTTGTCTTTGTGGCCAGGTCAGGGTCAATGTGATTTCAAACAGATTCAAACTCACTTTGCCAGGCTGAGTATCTCTGAGTCAGATTCTTTGCTGAGGGCTTGGTGTGAGCTAACACATCCAAAAAGTCAGCAGTGGTCACTGTGGCCAGCTGGATCCCAGGTAAATCGCTGCTCTCTAGATAAAAACAACAGTAACAGCATAACAATCGACCTTATGGTGATCAATGCCCTTGAAATGCTAATAGACCTTCTTTCAAGACAATGCATAATGCAACATTCTTAATGGTTAATGCAGAAAAGTCAACACTAAAGAGGGCTCAGATGAAAATTCTTTAATGTACAACTCAGCCTCTGAAGTCCAGACAAAAATATGTGATTTAAATGTATCATCAAAGTTTTATTTAATATTTATATAGTGCCTCAGTGGATTCAGCCCAACATCACTGTGTGCCAGAGAAATAAAAGCCCGAGCCCTAAGGAGTTTATCATCTGTGGCGAAGTGGATCCAAAACAGAACTTCAGAGGAGGAAGGAGTTGAGTGCAGGAAAGAGAGAAGACCAAGAATGTGTGCAAGAGTCAAAAACCCCCAAGAACAGGCGCAAGGCTCCACCTGCTGGTGAAAGTTGGATTTTTAAATACAGATTTCCCTCCAGGAGCACCTTTGCTGTGATCCCAGCTTTACCTGACTGGTGATCTTCAAGTGCATTGAAGATCTTCCTCACGGGCCTCATTGCTGCTTCCCTGCAGACCAGCTTAATGTCTGAGCCTGAGTAGCCCTCGGTCTCCTGAAAGAGCCACAAACCAGCCATTGGTCAGCAGGCAGAATGTTGGTGGTGATCACATCCTTCTGGTCAGGACCCAGTATATCAGAGCCCCTGTTTAGATTCTGTATCTGCTCCACACAGACACTTAACAAAGGTTCCCAGATAGACAATGCTTGGGGAAAGAGACGCCTCTAACATGTTTGGATAACCTAAGAAGCTGGGCAACGACTTCCTAATTCCCCTCCAAATGTATGTTGTGAGATGCTGGTGAAGGACTAGACCACCCACGTTAGTCTAATGGGGCCCTTGTGCCAAGTCCAAGGATGATAAAATTTCAGTAGACATTTTTGTTCTTGCAAATAAGACCATTAAGCTGCCTTAGAGAAACCTCAATGAACATCAAGTTCAAGTGTCCACTCAGAGAAGGCAATGATAACAGTGACAAAGAAGGCAACAGATATGCATCTAGAGCTTTTGGATTTGTAAAAGACTTCTCATTTAATCATTACAGTAATTATTTGTGGCAGATCTGTTACCCACCTTATAGATGAAAAGGCTGAGGCTCAGAGAATAAGTGACACACAGATAGTAAGCAGCTGACAGGCCAATGATTTGACTACAGGTTCTCCTAGCCTAAATTCATACTATATCATATTGCTTCTTCCTGCTTGAATATTTCTGAGTGACGAAGCGCTCATTCTTCATGAAGAAGAGGCCCATTGCATTGTTGGGGAGCTGGAATCCTTTCTAAGTGACTCAAGGAAGAGGCTCCGAGCAGCTCATGAGAACTCCCTGTCGAGAAGACTGTCACGTGATGGCTGCTTGGCCTACTGATGCCTCTCCAGGGCAGCTTACCTGGCTCAGAGTGCCGTACTCCAGCTCTGTGCGCAGCTCCAGCGCTCTGCTCTTGCTCAATGGGGGCAGCCAGTGGTAGATCATGGCTTTCCTGGCTTCCTGGCTGGGAAGGTCAACCAGGATCCTCTTCTCCAGGCGGCGCAACATGGCACAGTCCAGTTCCCTGAAATCATGACAGAAACGAAGGAACTGGTTGGGGCTGTGAACTCACTTCCTAAGCAACAAGTACAGCTTGCTTAGGAAGAACAATTTTGCACTGCAGGAAGCGATTCTGCATGTTAACTTTCCCTCACATCTATGCCTGAATGGATAGGACAACTACTTTATATTGTTTGCTTAAAAAAAAAGAAAAGAAAATACATCCTTTAAAAAAAAAAAAACTAATGTAAAAGAGGTAATTTTAAGTGACTTGATTTTGGGGGAGATAATCTCACTAACAACCAAACAAGGAGCATTTCCATTGCAGTCATAACATGAATTATTCAATCTGATCCCTCCAGTGAGTAAATTATTCCTGACAATAACGTGGAGACTCTGGGAAGCACATTAATTCTTCCAAAACTCTTCTATATTCTGGAGTGAATGACTATCTCACTCCATTGCCCTAGTGAATGCAGCGAGCAAATGCTCCTTCCAGGATGCCCAATGCAAACATGGCCCTTTGACACACTTGTGCTCCTTCCAAAACACTGTCAGGCCAGATTTACACAATTTTGCACCTGCAGGCCATTTTCCTAAATTTATTAATATAAATTTTTCAAACAAATAGAAAAGTAGAATAAAACAATGAATATCCATGTATCTACCTTCTTGATTCAACAACAGTTAACATTTTGCCATACCCTGCTTCATATCAATTTATCTAAATAAATTATTTCAAAGTAAATTACATCATGAAATCCCACCCCTAAATGCTTCTGCTGGCAGTGTCCCCTCTCCCCCTGACAAGGACATTTTCTTACATAGCTACAATGCTATTAGGATACCTGACAGAATTAACATTGATGGCATAATATGTCTAATGCTCATTCCTTATTAAAATTTTGCCATTCTTGCCAAAATTATCTTTCATAGTTTTTTCAACCAAAATCCAATCAAGGATCATGTATTACATATGGTTTTATCTCCTAAATCTCATAAAGTAGACCAGTCTCCTTGCCATGACCCTTTTTAGAAAAGATAAGGCTAGTTTTAGAATGTTCCACATTCTGAATTGGCTTGATGTTTTCCTCATGGTATCATGTTCCTGGTTCCTCTATCCCAGTGGTCAGCAAACTGAGGCTCATGAGCCACATGCAGCTCTTTGGCCCCTTGAGTGTGACTCTTCCACAAAATACTAGGTGCGCATGTACAGTGAGATTGAAACTTTGTGGGCCATGCACAGAAGTCAGTTTTTGACCCTCAAAAGAAATTTCAATCGTTGTACTGTTGATATTTGGCTCTGTTGACTAATGAGTTTGTCGACCACTGCTCTATCCCCTATTCTCTAAGATGGAAGTTAGACTTAAAAGCTGTTTAGAATCAGGATAAAGATTTTTGGCAAGTATGTTTATTATATTGGGATACAGATGCTGGCTTATCTCACTATTAGTGATGTAGTGTTTGAATAGTGGGATGATCTGTTGATAGCATATCTGTCTATTGTTATGGAAGCCTCTTTGCAAATAGTAAGTATTCTATGTACAATATTTGGGCACTATGTGAATACTCCTTTCCCTCTCCCTTTCAACTAGTGGTTTTAGCATCTCTTAATGGTCTTCAAATCAATTATTGCACAAGAGTGCTACAAAAATGGTGGTTTCAAAAATTTTTATTCTAAATGTATTATTTGGAATTATTATTTAATGTAGAGCTTTCTCTTATTAACTGGGCTCCTGAATTACCCTGAATTGTCATTCCTGTTATCAACAGGGCATTTTGAGTATAAGTCTGTGAACACTTTATATAGAAATTAGGAATTGCCTGTGTGTTGGTCCACCTTAGCCATTAATGAAGACTGACAATAAAAGCATCATTACCAGATATTTCTTATTCATAAAGATACTGAGAATCTCCAAAGCATCCTCCCATTTTTCTGTCATTCTGAATCTATGTCATGATATTTCCCTTTAAACCGAAAAACAAAAATACCTTTCTAGGGAGCATATCTGAATTCTAAATTGGAGTGACCAGAATTCTTCAAAGATTGACTTTCCTTTCCAGTTATTCTTCCAATCATGAGCTGAGAAGCCATAGTCCAGGGGTGTCTTACCAGCAATAACAGTTACCTATTTATCAGCCTCATCCTGTTGAAATTCATCTCACATCAGAGGCTCAGCCACATCTTTCCCTGTACAACCATTCCCCCTCTCAAGACCAACATTCATACTCAAGACACAGGGTCAAGAAAATTCACAGAATTCAAAGAGATCATTTTTTCATATTTGAATATTAATAAAAGATAATGCTTAAATAACACTGGTTTTTAGCTTTTTGCAGATATTTAATTCTCATGACAATCCTATGAGGTAGGTACTATTATCATCTCAATTTCAAGATGAGGAAACTGAGACACAGAGGTCAGAAAGCTAGTGAGTTGTGGCACTGGATTTGAACCTCAAGAATGAGACTCTGGAGCCTGTGCCTCAGTCACTGCTAGGAGACTCCCAAGTCACATGATGGTGAAATCCAGAGGCCTGAGAACAAAGAGAGGATCATAAGAGCTTCCAGAGAGAAAAATACAAGTTACATACAAAGGATTAAGAATAAGACTTCTCATCAGTAGCATGAAATAGTAAAAGAAAAGAAAAAAAAATGCCTTCAAAATTCTAAGGAGAAATCTTGATCAAACCATTAATTTAGTTGGTAGATAGAATAAAGGTAATTCAACAATCAAAGCTTAACATAATTTCCTCCCATATGCCCTTTTTCATGATGTCCAGTTGTCAGTTTAGCAGGATTGGGCCTAAACTGGCAGTCGGATATCCCCAGATTGTAAAGGGTGCAGGCCAGGCTGAGGGGATATCCCCTCCTACCCCCTGCACAAATTTTGTGCACCAGGCCTCTAGTAAATAAATAAAGGCAGGCCGAGACCGGTTTGGCTCAATGGATAGAGCATCGGCTTGGGGACTGAAGGGTCCCGGGTTCGATTCCGGTTAAGGGCATGTACCTTGGTTGCGGGCATATCCCCAGTAGGGGGTGTGCAAGAGGCAGCTGATCGATGACACTCTCTCATCGATGTTTCTAACTCTCTATCTCTCTCCCTTCCTCTCTGTACAAAATCAATAAAATATATATAAATAAATAAATAAATAAATAAATAAATAAATAAATAAAGGCAATAACAGGGAGGTTTTGGTCTTAAAGTGAAGGAATGTTGGTCCCATAAACTTCAAAGATAAAATAAAACTTGAGACCATCAGGCTGAAAACCAGAAAGGAAGAGTGAATAAGCTGGAAAAAAAAAACACACACACAGCAGATCTGAGGTGATCAGAAACTGCCATGTTTCTTCCAAGGCCTTTCCTTGGACCTAGGAGGCTGCCTCTCTTGAAGAGGCAGGGGATGCAGAAGGAAGGGTCTGTAGGGGCACCTTCTTTTTTGACTCCCCACTCCTTCCAGAGTGATTTCATGCAGAAGGAGGTGGGAAAACAATCCCTCACTATAGATGTCGGTATTGATCAGCTAATGCCCTAAAGCAAGAGATTTACCTCAAAACTGCCTGTGGGCACCAAATAAGTGCAACTCTCTGACAGCTGGGCCTGATGAATGCACTTTTAATGACATCAATAATAATATAACCATACAAGGGAGGAAACAGAGGACAAATGGAATGTACCCAGGAATTATTCTTTATGCCAATATATTTAGAAGAAATATATTTAACTTGTGGCAACCAGAAAACATTCCTTTTAGCTCATACACTTTGATTTTGACTAGTTATTCTGTCCTCGTGTCTTCTTAATTTTAGTTATTTGATACTTCCATCACCTCAAAGGTCAAAAGCAGCCAGTGAGTAATACTTGAAATAATAATAGTAGTAGTAATAGTAGTAGTAGTAAAAGCAGCCAGTGAGAGTGACATGTGAGATACAGAGAAGATTCACAGATTTCAGAGCCTGGCCGCTGAACCTATGCCCACTGCTATAGACAAGGTGGCAAAACCCATGGGCACCTGGACAGTTTACATGGGCTCCAGGGCCTTGCATCTGAGCACTTGGGCTCCTGCACCAAACCTTCTGGAGTCTTCCTCAGCCCCTTGGTTTGTCTCCCTATTAAACCATGTGGCTCCTGGGGCAGAGATCATTCCAAATTTTACAGAATTTGGAAACCAAACATAATTCTAGTTTGTTCATTCAATAGTTCAAACATATTCAGTTCAAAGTTTTCTCAGCATGATCAGAGAAAGACAAATTTTAAAAAATATATTTTATTGATTTTTTTACAGAGAGGAAGAGAGATGGATAGAGAGTTAGAAACATCAATGAGAGAGATTCATCGATCAGCTGCCTCTTGCACACCTCCCACCGAGGACGTGCCCGCAACCAAGGTACATGCCCTTGACCGAAATCAAACCTGGGACCTTTCAGTCCACAGGCTGACACTCTCTCCACTGAGCCAAACCAGTCTCGACAAGACAAAGTTTTGTAAGCAAAGTCTTTGCAGAATATCCATACAAACATGAAGTGTGTGGTCATGGCAATCCTTGAGGAACAGGTTAAGGAATTGTATTCTTTGGTAGATGCTGGGGACCTGATGAATAAAGCATTGAAGGTTACCTGTCTCTCACAGTGAGCCCTGCATAAGCTAACTCCTACCTGCATTTCCTACTGGGGTCAGCTCCTCCCTGGAGCCCAGGCGATGCATGGAGTTATGGTGGAAAGAACTGGGTTATGTCTGCTGAGCTCTGCAATCACATGTATACACTTCTACAGAAATATCATGCCACAAGGGGTGAATTCATGTGGGAAGAAGTGGTTTATATAGGTACATTTCTTCCCATTCCCAGAGCAGTAACCTCTTTGATTTCACGCTCTCTTCTAACTATTAGGAGTTGGTGTGTGTGTGTGTGTGTGTGTGTGTGTGTGTGTGTGTGCGTGTGTGTGTGTTTAATCCAGAATTTGGTCATACCAGGTGTCTACTTTTTAAGAGAGACAGTGAAATCTCTTGCCCTTCTGCAAATAGCA